CCCTCAACAGCACCACTGGACACACTTTTAAGGCTTTCAATTGCCACAGATAGCCTCTGAGACACTGTCTCAACCTCATCCGCACTCGTGAGAGGCCAACTGGAAGTGAGAGAACACTGCACCTTGCCTTTTTCATTGTTTCTACCTTTCCCAGAGAGCCCTTGTGAGGCCCAGGATGAAGGGAGGCAGTGAGGACAAAGGCCTGGTCATCTTTCACTGACACATGACTCTGGCATCTCAGGTATGATTCCATCACCCAAAGACCCCTCAACAACTAACCAGATTATGTTTCAATCCCCACTGCACCCGATTATTGCACACAGCCTCCTTCCGGAATGGAGTCAGAAGAGTTTTCAGCGACCACCTCACATTCTTGAAACGCCTCCTCCAGCAGATCTGACTACGAAGATGGACTGAAGGGTCCTAAGTTCAAGAATTTTAGGGTCCCACCGTGAGTTATCGCAGTCAGCCATTTTCCCAATACAAATCCGTCCCTTCTTGTACCATTTTCCTCTGCTTAGGAAAGGTCAGCTCTGACAGCCAGGCGCCCGAACATGCCTAACAAATGCGCATGCGCTAGTCTTATGCACAAAATCAGAGCTGTGAGCTCTGGCTAGCATCACAGTGAATTTCACCGTTGCCTAGAGACAAGTTTCTGCAGGTTGACGGAGAATGAGACTTCCGTGGAAGTGCGTGGGCGGTGGACTCGCCTGTCTTCTCTGTGGGATCTACGGGATAGTCCCATGATTCTAGTAGAGGAAAGACATAAGCCAGTCTGAAGAAAAGTCAAGCAGAGCCCCAGGAATAAACCCGAAATTCCTAAACATCCAAAAGGTTCTGCAGGATGCCTCAGGCCTGTCTAGAAGTTGTAGAGTGAGTGTTGTTGAAACTTGCCCCACAGTGATTTCTATGTACAGCCCACCTGTGTTCCCCAGGGTTGCTCTCTCCCAGGCGGGGCTTCCTGCAGAACCCTGCAGGCTCAGATGCTGCCAGGCTTTGTGTTTCTGTGGGAGTGTTGGAAGTGTTGGATGTCTGTGTGTGTAGCTTCGTGTGTTTGTGTGTGTATGTGCATGCCTGTAAGTGGAGTTCGCTTACAGTAATGTGGCTAACGCACTGCAGCACTTCTATTTTTTGTCTCTCAACTTTTTGGTGGCCTGTGTGTGTGGCTCTGCCTTGGATGCCGGACTCCGTGTTTTTTCGTGGGTTTTTTTTTTTTTTTTTTTTTTTTTTTTTTTTCCTGTGGATCATGAATCTTCATGAATTAGAGGTTGGCCCAGACCCGCTGGGATCCAAATCACCTCCCCCTGCAAAAAAAAAAAAAAAAACAAAAAAAAAAAACAAAAAAAAAACACTGCTCTAGAAAGAAGAGCATACCACACTCAAGAACAGACATCTCCCTTTGTTTTATTGTCCTGTGGCCAACCCAGAAAGTAACACCAGCAGTCCTGTATGCAGTACTTGTTGAATTTACCTCAAATTTGGTTGCCAGTCAAGCAGATTCTTGCACACACCTTCTTTCAGGAATGGATTCTGAAAAGCAGTTAAGAGCAGTCACCTCCCAGTCTTGAAATGCTTACTCTACCAGCAGGATCCGACCATGGAAATGGCCCAAAGAGGCCCTAAGGTTGAGACATTTAGAGTTCTGCTGTAGGTTATCACAGGCAGGATTTTTCCAGATACCATGCTGGCTTTTTCTGTACCATTTTCCCCTGGTTAGGCAGGCTGTTAGTTCTGAAAGTCAGGCACTAGAGGCTGCCTCGCAAATGTGCATGCTCTAGTATCAGGGCATCAGGTCTGAGCTGTGAGCTCTGGCTAGCATCACAATGAATGCCACCATTGCCTAGAGACCAGTCCCTGAAGCTTGATGGAGAAGGAGACTCTGTAGAGGTGTGTCAGTGGTGGACTCTCGCCTGTCTTCTCTGTGTGATTCACCTGATAGTCCCATGATCCTAGGAGAGGGCAGACATGATCCAGCCTGAAGAAAAGTCAAGCAAAGCCCCATGAATAAACCGTGAAATCCAAGGATCCAAAAGGATCTGCAGGATGCTGCAGGCCTGCCTAGACGTCGTAGTGGTGAGCATTTTTGAAACTTGTCCCTCTGTGATTTCCAGGTACAGCTCACCTGTGCTCCCCAGGATTGCTCCCTCCCAGCTGGGGCTTTCTGCAGAACCATGTTACCTCAGGATCTGCCTGGCTGTGTGTTTCTGTGGGAGTGTTGCGAGTGTTGGATGTCTGCATGTGTGTGTGGCTTTGTGTGTTTCTGTGAGTGTGTGTGTGCGTGTGTCTGTGTAAGTGGAATCTGCTTAATGGAATGTGGCTAACACACTGCATGCTTCTTTTTTGTTAGTCTCCCAACCTTTTTGTGGCCTGTGTGTGTGGCTGTGCTTGGGCTGAGCGACTCCGTGTTCTTTATTTTTCTGTGGATCATGAATCTGCAGTGAATTGGGAGACTGGCGAGGCCCACTGGGATTAAAAAAAAAAAGCCACTCTTCTAGAGAGAAGAGGAGCACACCACACCCACAAAAAGACATCTCCTCAAGTTTCATTTTTCTGCAGCCAACCCAGGGCAACACACTAGCAGTCCTGTCCACAGTGCCCCATGAATTTACCTAAAATTCAGTTACCAGTTGAGCAGGTGCTTCAAGTTTTGAAAAGGCACTCCTCCATCATCTTGCAATTTCATTCCGGGACAGAGTATGAGCAGCAATAAGGTCAGAGAGTGGTGAGGATTCAATCTGGTGAGGGGGTGGATGGGGTTCTGCACTTTCATTTTCAAAAAGGTGAAGTCAGATGACACAGAAGGTGCATCCAGCTGCATCCCTTCATTCACTTAATTGCACCAGCAGTCTATGCTAAGGTCCAATGTTCAGGTGGGAGTACTCCAATATACAGGAAATATTTGGAGTGCAAACTGGGGTCATCCTGGGAAACTGCTGGTTTGAGAGCTTTCATACACAGAGCCAAATGGCAGTCAGATAGATTCATGCTGGGTGGGATGTGGCCACGACAGTTGCCTCTTCTTTTCCTGATTTTCATGTTCCTCATCCACCTAGGGTTTCCTGGGTTTGACTCAACGTCTTTCACACTAAACATTTCCCAGTTAATGGAAAACAACATTCATAAGAATTCATTGCATGCTTTCTTCTAAACATTGTCACGTTTTAATGACTGGGCAGCTGTGATCCTTTTAAAAGCATAAATTCTAGTTACAGTCATCAACAAGGAAACTGTTTTTCTCTCACTTCTATTGAAGGACTGTATGATTCCTGGAGGATGAGAAGCAGGTAGCTTTGTCTGGCTTTTGCGTCATAATCTAGGCTCTGTTGCATTTCCTCCACACATTCTTTCTCATTGTGGAGGGGGTCTATTATTTGGCTGTTGCTAGATGGGACTGCCTCTTGTCACAGATTTTTGGGCTGCCAGGAATTTCATTGAGCAAAAGGGACATCAGTAGGCTGGCTGTGCTCTGGGTTGTGTGTTGTAGTCTCTTTGTGGGGACTGAAATTGTTTGCACTTTGCAGGATGCTTTTGGGTCCTCTGACAACCATCTTTGAACATTGCTGGGCTCCAGCACAAGTCAGCACATTCTGAAAGTGGAGCCTTGATTTTTTGCTTACATGGGGGTCCACATTGCCCCTCAACAACACTACTGGATACAATTTTCAGGTTTACAATTGCCACAGACCCTTATGAGACACTATCTCTACTGCATATGCACACATGACAGGCCAGTTTGAGGTGTGAGAACACAGCTCCACCGTGGACCTGACTTTGTCATGGTACCTTCCTTTCCCAGAGAGCCCCTACAAGGCCCAGGATGAAGGGAGGTAGTGAGGTCAAGGGATCAGTCGTATTTTGCTGACACCCACCTCTGAGGCCTCAGGCATAATTCCCTCACCCAAAGACCCCTCAACAACTCACCAGACTCTATTCCAAACCCCATGAGACCTGAATCTTGCACAGCTGTTTTCAGGAATGGAGTCAAAAGAGGAGTTTCCAGTGACCACTTCCCAGTCTCAAAACGCCTCCTCCTTCAGCGAGATGCAATCACAAAGAAGGGCTGAAGGGGCCCAAATTTCGAGACTTTTAGGGTCCCACAGTGGGTTATCACTGGCAGCATTATTCCTGATACCAGGCCGGCTCTTCTTGTACCATTTTCCTCTTCGTAGGCAGGACTATAGCTCTGACAGCCACGCCCCTGAGCCTGCCTTGCAAATGGGCATGTGCTAGTCTCAGGGCACCAGGCCTGAGCAGTGAGCCCTGGTTTGCATCACAAGGAATGCTACTGTTGCCGAGGGAGAAGTCCTGCAGTTTGGGGGAGAAGGAGACCTCCCTGGAGGTGGGTCGGCGGTGAACTCTCGCTTATCTTCTCTGTGGGAGACTCAAGATAGTCTCATGATGCTGGAAAAGGACAGACATGAGCCATCCTGAAAATCATCAAGCAGAGCCCCAGTAATACAAAATGAAATCCCTAAAGGTCCAAAAGGATCTGCAGGATGACTGAAGTGTGCCTAGACATTGTAGGGGGGAGTCTTTTTGAAACTTGCCACACTGTGATTTCTAGGTACAGCAAGCCTGTGTTCCCCAAAGTTGTTCTTTCCCAGGTGGAGCTTTCCTCAAAACCACACAGTCTCAGAAGCTGCCAGGCTGTGTGTTTCTGTGGGAGTGTTGTGAGTTTTTCATGTCTGAATGTTTGTATGACTTCGTGTGTTTGTGTGTGTGTGCCTGTATGTGGAGACTGCTTAAAGGAATGTGGCTAATACACTGCAGCACTTCTTTTATTTTTTGGGGTGACATCTCCCAACCTTTTTTTGGCCTGTCTGTGTATCTCTGCTTAGCCTCCATGTTCTTAATTTTTCTGTGGATCATGAGTCCGTAGTGAATTGGGAGGATGACTGAGACCTGCCGGGGTCCAAATAACCACCAGCTAAAAAAAAAAAAAAAAAGGAAAAAAAAAAAGCCACTCTTACAGAAAGAAGAACACACAACACCCAAGAACAGACATCTCCCTCTGTTTTATTGTCCTGCTGGCAACCCAGGGAGAGATGCCAGCCATTAGTAGTTCTGTACACTGGGCCACTCTAATTTACCTCAAATTCCATTCTCAGCCATGCAGGTGCTTTACGTCATCTCAGCCATGCAGGTGCTTTAGGCATGCCTCCATCATCTTGGGATTCTTTTCTGGAACGGAGTGTGAACAGCAATAAGGTCAGATGGGGTGAGGATACAATCTAGTGATGATTGGAGGGGGTCCCACAACTTCACCTGCAAAAAAGTTGAAGATAGGTGACACACAAGGTGCCTCCAACTACATCCTTGCAGTTCCTTAATTGCAGAAGCAGTCTATACCATGGTTTGCTGTTCAGGGAACATTTGGGGTGCAAAATTGGACCATCCTTGCAAACTCCTCATTTGAGGACTTTCACATCTGGAGTCAAATGGGAGTGGGGTGGACTGATGCTAGGTGAGATGTGTCCTCCACACTTGCTTCTTTTTTTCATGACTTCCATGTTCCTCATTGGCCTAGCATTTTCTCAATCTGGCTCAACGTCTTCCACACTAAGCATTTCTCAGTACATGAAAGACGACCCTCATGGGAACCTATTGCCTGAGTGTTTCCTTCTAAACACTGTCACGTTTTAATGACTGGGCAGCTGTGATACTTTTAAAAACATAAATGCCCATTACAGTGGCCAACAAGGAAACTCTTGTCTTCCCACTTTGACCAGAGGGCTGCATAATTCCTGGAGAATAAGAAGCAAGCAGCTGTGTTTGTTTTTTACTGGTAATCTAGGCTGTGTTTCATTTCATTTGCACGAACGTTCTCATTGTGGAAGGAGTCTTTCTTTGGGCTGTTGCTGGATGGCACTGCCTCTCACCACAGATCTTTTGGCTGTCAGGGATTTCCGGGAGCAAAAGGGACTTCAGGTAGGCTGACTGTGTTCCAGGTTGTGGGTTGCAGTCTCATTAGGAGGGTTGAAGTTGTTTGCACTTTGCAGGAGGGTTTTGGGACCTCTGACAGTAATCTTTGAATGTTGCTTGGACTCCAGGACAAGGATGCTCATTCTCTCAGGTGAGACTTAATTTTTTTGCTTTCATGTGTGGTCCACAGTGCCCCTCAAGAACACTACTGGACACTATTTTCAGGATTGCAAAGGCGCCAGAGCCTGCATCGCGAATGCACTTGCGCTAATATCAGGCCACCAGGGCTGAACTTTCAGCTGGGGCTAGTGTCACAATTAATGCCACCATTGTTTAGCGACAAGTCCCTGTGACTTGGCAAAGAAAGAGACCTCGGTGGATGTGTGTAGGCGATGGACTCTCAACTGTCTCCTCTGTTGGATACTTGGGATAGTCCCATGATCCTAGGAGAGAACAGACAAAAGCAAGCCTGAAGAAATATCAAAAAGAGGCCCAGAAATAAATGGTGAAATAGCTACGGATAACAAAACAAAACAAAACCCGGCAGGATGTCTCGAGCCTGCCTAGACGATGAAGGGATGAGTCCTTTTGACACTTGTCTCACTGTGATTTCTAGGTGGAGTCCGCCTGTGTTCCCTGGAGTTACTCTCTCTCAGGCGGGGTTTCCTACAGAACCACACAGCCTCAGAAACTGCCTGGCTGTGTTTTTCTGTGGGAGTGTTGTGACTGTTGAATGTCTGCCTGTGTATGTGTATGTGTGTGAGTGTGTGTATCTGTAAGTGGCGTTGGCTTAAAGGAATGTGGCTAACGCACTGCAGTGCTTCTATTTTTTGAGTCTCGGAGACTTTTGCTGGTCTGTCTGTATGACTTGCGTTGGGTTGCAGGGCCCTGTGTTCTTTATTTTTCTGTGGATCATGAATCTGCAGTGAATTACGAGCTGGTTGAGACCTGCCAGGGTCCAAATCACCTCCCACTGCAATAAAAGCAACTCTTCTAGAAATAAGAAAACTACACCACACCCAAAAAAAGACATCTCCCTGTGTTTCATTGTCCTGTGGCCATCCTATTAAGAGACACCAGCAGTCCTCTTCACAGTGTCCATTTAATTTACCTTGAATTCAGATCCTGTCTGTGCAGGTGCTTCACCTCTTGAGGAAGCACTACTCCATCGTCTTGGTATTTCATTCTGGAAAAAAGAGAGTGAGCAGCAATAAGATCAGAGAGAAGTGAGGATACAATCTGGTGAGGAAAGAAAGGGGTCCTGCACTTTCACCTGCAAAAACGTTGAACACAGATGACACAGAAGGGGCTTTCCGTCTGCATCCCCGCATACGCTTAATTGCACAAGCAGTCCACACGACAGCGCTATGTTCAGGTAGGAGTACTACAAAATGCAAGGAGTATTTGGAATGCAAACTAGGGCCATCCTGGCAAATTCCCAGTTTGAGAGCTTTCATACCCAGAGGCAAAAGGAAGTGGAGTGGATTGATGCTGGGTGGGATGGGGCTCCACACTTGCCTCTTCTTTTACAGACTTTCATATTCCTTGTCGCGTAGGGTTTCCTGGGTCTGTCTCAATGTCTTCCATACTAAACGTTTCCCAGTTCAAGGAGGATGATCCTCATAGGAATCCATTTCATGAGTATTTCCTTCAAAACTCTGTCTCGTTTTAATGACTGGGCAGCTGTGATACTTCTAAAACCATAAATTCCTTTTACAGCTGCCAACAAAAAAGTGCTTGTTCTCTCACTTTTTTCAGAGGGCTGCAAGATTCCTATATGATGAGAAGCAGGCAGCCATGTCTAACTTTTGTCCAGTAATCTAGGAATTTTTAAAATTTCATTTGCACGTCATTTCTTATAACATAGGGAGTCTTTCATTGCACTATTGATGGATGGGAATGCCTCTTGCCACAGATCGTTTGGTTGCCAGAGATTTCAGGGAGCAAAAGAAACTCTGGGTGTGCTGGCTGCATGAGTTTTAGACACTTTGAAGGATGCTTTTGGATTCTCTAATGGGAATCTTTAAACATTGCTTGGACTCCACTACAAAGCATTTTTTTTTCTCTCAGGTGAGCCTTGATTTTTCCTTGCTTTCATGTGGGATCCACAGCACCCCTTAAAAGCACTACTGGGCACCATTTTAAGGCTTGCAATCACCACATACAGCCTCTGAGACAGAGACACTGTCTCAACCTAATCTGCACCCAGGAGAGGTCAGTTGGAGGTGTGAGTACACTGCTCCACCTTGGACTTCCCTTTGTCATGGTCCTTGCCTTCCCCAGAAGGTCCCTGTGAGGCCCAGGATGAAAGAAGGCAGTGAGGTCAAGGGTCCAGCCATCTTTCACTGACACCGTCCTCTGGGATCTCAGGTATGATTCCATCACCCAAAGACCGCTCAACAACTCACCAGACTATATTCCAAACACCAAGTGATGAGATTCTTGCACACAACCACTTTCAGGAATGGAGTCAGAAGAGTAGTTTCCAGTGACCACCTCACAATCTCAAAATGCCAACCTCTCCGAGAAACCTGACCACAAAGATGGCCCAAAAAAGCCCTATGGTCGAGACTTTTAGGGTCCCACAGTGGGTTATTGCAGGCAATCTTTTTCTCGATAGCAGGCCAGCTCTGCCTTTACAATTTTCCTCTGCTTAGGCAGCCTGACCACTCTGAAAGCCAGGTGTCCAAGTGCAAACATTCCTTGCTCATTGCAGTAGTCCTATGTGAACACTAGGCCATGGTGTGGACTGCTTGTGCAATTAAGGGAATGTGGTGATGAAATTGGAAGTACCTTCTGGGTTTTCCATCTTTATTTTTTTTACAGGTGAACTTGCTGGACCCCATCCACCCCTCACCAGATTTTATCCTCAGCCCTGACCTTATTGCTGCTCACACTTTATGTCCCAGCTTGAAATCCCAGGATGATGGAGGAGTGACCCATCATGACATGAAGCACCTGCTCAGCTGAGAACCCAATTTGAGGTACATTGAAAGGGCCCTGCGGGCTGAACTTCTAGCATCTGTCCCTGTTTTGGCCCTAGGAGATGCCTGTTTTTTTTTTGTTGTTGTTTGTTTGTTTTGTTTGTTTTTGTTCTTGTTTTTGTTTTTCTGGGTAGTGTGCTTCTCTTGTTTCCAGAAGAGTGGTTTTATTCATCAGAGGGAAGTCATTTGGATGCTGGCAGGTCTTGGCCTGCCTCCCAATTCTCTGCATATTCATTATCTGCAGAAAAATAGTGAACACAGAGCCCTACAGCCCAAGAAGAGTCACACAGACAAGCCACTAAAAGGCTTGGAGACTCAAAAAAATGAAGTGCTGAAATGTGTTAACCACATTTCTTTAAGCATACTACAACACACATACACAAACACAGAGAGAATTACAAACACACAATGCCACACACAAAGGCTGACATCCAACAATCGCAACACTCCCCCAGAAACACACATCTTTGCATCTCCTGAGGCTGCTTGGTTCTGCAGGAGGCCTCACCTGGGAGAGAATGGTCCTGGGGAACAAAGATGGGCTCTACCTAGAAATCACGGTGGGACAAAATTCAAAAGAACTCACCACTACAACCATTAGGCAGGCATGAGGAATTTTGTAGATCCTATTATATCATTATGAATTTCATGGTGCATCCTGGTTCTCTGCCTGAAGTTTCTTCAGGATGGCTCATGTCTGCCCTACCCTAGGGTCATTGGACTATGCCATGGATCCCACAGAGAAGACAAGTTATAGTCCATCACTGAAGCACCTGAACGGAGGTCTCCTTCTTTGCCAAGCCACAGAGACTTATCACTAGGCAATGGTGACATTCATTGTGATGCTAGCCATAGCTCACAATCAGGCCTGGTGCCCTGACACTGGTGCATTCTCATTCAGAAGGCAGGCTTGGGTACTCAACTGTCAGAGCTGTCAGCCTGCCTAAGCAAAGAAAAACAGTACAGACAGAGCAGATGTGGTATTGGAAAAAAAGGCTGCCTGAAAAAAATCCACTACAGGACCCTAAAAGTCTGAATCTCAGAGCCGCTTCAGGCTGTCTCCGTAGTTGGTCCTGCTGGAGAAGGAGGCATTTTGAGACTCTGAGATAGTTGCTGAAATCTGCTCTTCTGACTCCATTCCAGAAAAAGCCTGTGTGCAAGAATCGTGTCTTGGGGGATTAGAATATTTTCTGGTGTGTTTTTGAGTGTTCTTTGGGTGTTGGAGTCATATCTGAGAGCCCAGAGGTGAGTCTCAGTGAAGGAAGGCTAGGCTCCCTTCATCCTGTGCCAGGCAGTGGCTCTCAGGAAAGGCAGGAACCATGACAAAGGCAAGTCCAATGTGGAGCCATGTTTTCATATCTCGGACTCACTCGTAGCTGGTGCAGTTGAGGATGAGACAATGTCAACGAGACCATTTGTGGCAATGGCAAGCCTGAACAGTGTGTCCAGTAGTGGTGTTGAGGGCACTGTGAATTCCCCAAGAAAGCAAAGAAAAATGAAGGCTTATGTGAAAGAATATGCTGGAGTCAAAGCAATGTTCAATGATTCCTGTCAAAGGACCCAAAAGCCTACTGCAACGATGTCAGCACCCACAACGAAACAACGACTCACAACCTGGAGTGCAGCCAGCTTACCTGAAATTCCTTTTGCTCTCTGAAATCCCAGGCAGCAAAATAATCTGTGTCAAGAAGCAGTCACATCCATTAACAGCCCAATCAAAGAGAACCTCCACAATGTGAAGGCCATGCAGATGAAATGAAACAGAGGCTAGATTACCAGACAAAACCTAGATATGGCTGCCTGCTTCTCATCCTACAGTAATCATGCAGCCTTCTGAGAGAAGTGCGAGAACAACAGTTTCCTCGTTGGGGGAAGTAACAGAAATTTATGCATTTAAAAGTATCAAAGCTGCCCAGTCATTAAAATGTGACAGTGTTTAGAAGGAAACACTCATGCAATGGATTCCCATGACTGTCGTTCTCCATGAACTGGGAAATGTTTAGTATGGAAGTCATTGAGCCAGAACCAGAAAACCCTATGCCAATGAGGAATATGGAATCAGGAAAAGAAGAGGCGAGTGTGGAGGCCACATCCCACCCAGCATCAATCAGTTCCATTTCCATTTGGAATTTGCCAGAATGGCCCCAATTTGTACTCCAAATGTTTCTTGCACATTGTAGTACTCCCCCCTGAACACGTGGTCATAGTGTGGACTGCTTGTGCACTTGAGGAAATGTGGGGATGCAGTTGGAATCACCTTCTGTGTCATCTGTCTTCATTTTTTTTGTAGGTGAAGTTTTGAGAACCTATCCACCCCTCACCATATTATATCCTCATCCATGTCTGACCTTATTGCTGCTCAGATTCTATGTCCCAGGATAAAATGCCAAGATGATGGAGGAGTGCCCCCTAAGGATGTAAAGCACCTGCTTGGTTGGGAACAGAATTCAAGGTTAATTTTAGGGGCGCTGCAGACAAGACTGCTAGTGTCTTCCCCTGGGTTGGCCACAGGGCAATGAAATACTGGGAGATGATAGTTCTTGGGTGTGGTGTGCTCCTCTTCTTTCTAGAAATGTGACTGTTTTTCAAGAGGGAGGCAATTTGGACAATGATTCGTCTCAGCCCACCTCACAATTCACTGCAGGTTCAGGTTTTACAGAAAAATAAAGAACATGGAGTCTTAAAGTCACACAGACATGTCAGCAAAAAGTAGGTAGACTCAAGAAAAAGAAGCTCTGAAATTCATTACCACATTCCTTTAAGCAGACTCCACTTACACACACACACACACACACACACAAAATGCCACACACACAGGCAGATATTCAACACTCACAAACTTCCACAGAATGACACAGGTTCATAGCTCCTGAGGCTGCGTGGTTCTGCAGGAATCTGCACTTGGGAGAGAGCAGTCCTAAGGAAGAGAGGAGGGCTGTACCAAGAAATCAGAGTGGGGTAACTTTCAAAATGACTCACCCTACAACATCTAGGCAAGCCTGAGGAATCCTGCAGATCCTTTTGGATCCTTAGATAGTTCATGGTTTATTCCCTGGGTTGTGCTTGATGTTTCTTCAGGCTAGCTCATGTCTGCCTTCTCCCATGATCATGGGACTATCCCTTGGATTCCACAGAGAAGATAGGCGAGAGTCCACCAGCGACGCACCTGTACGTAAGTCTCCCTCTCTGCCACAGTGCAGGGACTTGTAGCTAGGAAACGGTGACATTCACTGTGACGCTAGCCAGAGATCACCATCAGGTTTGATTCACTGAGACTAGCACAAGTGCAATAGTGAGGCAGTCTCAGGTGCCTGGCTGTCATAGGTTTCAGTCTGCCTTAGCAGAGGAAAATGGTACAGGCAGAGCCGGCCTGGTATCAGGAAAAAGGCTTCCTGTGCAAACCCACTGCGAGACCCTAAATGTCTCGATCTCAGGGCACCTTCAGTCCATCTCCATGGCTGGGTCTCAGATAGAGGAGGTGGCATTTTGAGACTGTGAGGTGGTCTCTGGAAACTGCTCTTCTGACTTCATTCCTGAAAGAGGCTGTATGCAAGAATCCAGTCCTTTGGGTATTGGTTCTTTGGATGATAGAATCATACCTGAGACCCCAGAGGCAGATGTCAGTGAAAGATGGCTGGGAACTTAACCTCACTGACTCCCTTCATCCTGGGCCTAGCAGGGGCTCTCTGGGGAAGACAGAAACCATGATAAAGGCAAGTCCAACATGGATCAGTGTTTTCACACCTCAGCTTGGCCTCTCACAGGTGCAGATGAAGTTGAGACAGTGTCTCAGAAGCCAGTGGTGGTGATGTCAAGCCTGAAAAGATGTCCAGTAGTTCTGTTGAGAGTGTTGTGAATTCCTTGAGAAAGCAAGTAAATCAAGGATCACCCTGAAAGAACAAGTTGCCTGTGCATTTTTGCCTGTGTGTCACAGGAATGTTCACTCTTCTTGTGAGAGAACCCAAAACCCTCTTGAAAAGTGTAAACAACCTCAGTCCCCAGAACAAGGCAATGACCCAAAACCTGTAGCACAGCCAGCCTACTCAAAGTCACTTGTGCTGTCTGAAATCTTAAGAGCTAAATAATCTGTGGTGAAAGCCAGTCCCATCAAGCAACAGTCCAGTGCAAGAGGTCCTCCACAAAGAGAAGGCCATGCAGATGAAATGAAACGGAGGGTAGATTACCAGGCAAAAGCCAGACACAGCAGCATGCTTCTCATCCTACGGGAATCATGCAACCCTCCGATATAAGTGAAAGAACAAGAGTTTTTTTGCTGGCAGCTATAATGGGAATTTACAGTTTTAAAACTATCGAAACTGCCAAGTCATTAAAACATGAGTGTTTAGAAGGAAACAGTCACACAGTGGGTTCCCATGAGTATCATTCTCCATGAATTGGGAAACGTTTAGTGTGAAACTTCTTGACCCAGACCCAGGAAACCCTAGGCTGATGAGGACATGGAAGTCAGGAAAAGATGATGCAAGTCTGGAGACTACATTCCATCCAGTATCAATCCATTCCATTCTCATTTGACTTCATGTACAAAAACCTTAAAATCAGGAGTTTTCCAGGATAGTCCCAATTTGCACTCCAAATATTACTTGCACATTGTAGTACTCCCACCTGAACATCAGCCCATGGTGTCAACTACTTGCACAATTAAATGAATGTGGGGATGGAGTTGTAAGCATTTCCCATGCCATTTGTCTTCATTTTTATTGCAGGTGAAGTTGAAGGACCTCATTCACCCCTCACCATATTATATCCTCACCCCTATCTGACCTCATTGCTGCTCACACTCTGTGTCCTGGAATGAAATCCCAGGATGATGGAGGAGTAACCCCTGCTTGGCTAGGAACCAAATTTGAGGTAAATTCAAGAAGCTCTTCAGACAGCACTGACAGTGTCTTTTTTTGGGTTGACCACAGGACAATAAAACACTAGGAGATGTCTGTTTTTTGGTTTGTTGTGCTGCTCTTCTTTCTTTAAGAGTAGATTTTTTTTTTTTTTTTTTTTTTGCCAGGGAGGTAATTTGGATGCCCGTGAGTCTCAGCCCACCTCCCAATTCACTGTGGATTCATGATTCACAGAACAATAATGAACATGAGCCCCGGAACCCCTGCACATCCACAGAAAAGGCATTAAAAATGTTTTGAGACTCCAGGAAAAAAAAGGCCTGAAGTACGTTCAGCCAAAAGTTCTTTAAAGTACGTACTTAAAGTCAGACTCCACTTATAGAGACAGCCACACACCCACACAAACACACACTGATACATATACATGGACGACATCACAACTCTCACAACACTCCCACAGAAACTCACAACCTGGCAGATCCTGAGGCTGCATGCTTCTGCAGGAAGCCACACCTGAGACAGAACAACCCCAGAAAGTACAGGTGGGCTATATGAGGAGAGTTTCAAAAACACTCTCCCCTATAACATCTAGGCAGGCCTGAGGAATTCTGCAGATCTTTTTGGATGCTTAGAGATTCCGCAGTTTATTCCTGGGGCTGTGCTTGATGTTTCTTCAGTCTGGCTCACGTCTGCCCTCTCCTAGTATCAGGAGACTATCCCATGAACCCAACAGAGAAGACAGGTAAGAGTCCACAACCAACATACCTCCATGGTTGTCTCCTTCATGAAGCCACAGGGACTTGTTGCTAGGCAATGGTGATATTCTTTGTAATGAGCCAGAGCTCACAATCAGGCCTGGTGCACTGAGACTAGCACACGTGCATTCATGAGGCAGGCTTGGGCTTCTGGCTCTCAGAGCAATCAGGCTGCCTAAATAGAGAAAAATGTCACAGGCAGAGCAGGCCTGGTATCAGGAAAAAGGCTGCCTGTAAAAACCCACTGAGAGATCCTGAAAGTGTTAACGTTAGGTCCCCTTTGGGCTGTCTCTGTGGTCGATTCCTGCTGGAGGAGGAAGTGTTTGAAGACTGGGAGGTGTTCACTGGAAACTGCTCTTGTGACTCCATTCCTGAAAGAGGCTGTGTGCAAAAATCTGGTCCATTGGGGATTGCAACATTGTCTGGAGGGTCGTTGAGGTTTTTTTGGGTGATACAATCATACTTGAGACCCCAAAGTTGAGTGTCAGTGAAAGATGGCAGGGCATTGACCCCAATGCCTCCCTTCATTCTCTGTCTCACAGGGAATCCCTGGGGAAAGGCAGGAACCATGACAAAGGCAAGTCCAAGGTGGAGAAGTGTTCTCTTACAGATGCAGATGAGGTTGAGACAGTGTCTCAGAGGCCATCTGTGGTGATGGAAAGCCTGAAAGGGGTGTCTAGTAGTGCTGTTGAGGGGCACTGTGGATTCCCCATGAAAGCAAAGAAAATTCAAGGCTCACTTGAGAGAATACGCTGCCTTGTGCTGGTGTCCAAGTAATGTTCAACGATTCCTATAGAGGATATCAAATCCTTCTGCAAATTGCAAACATCCTCAGCCTTCACAATGAGACAATGACCTATGACCTGGAGAGCAGCCAGCCTACCTGAAGTCCTTTTTGCTCTCTGAAATCCCTGGCAGCTACACCATCTGTGGCCAGAGGCCGTCCCATCCAGCAACAGTACAATGAAAGAACCCTTTCACAATGAGGAGACCATGCAGACGAAATGAAGCAGAAGCTAGATTATCAGGCAAAAGCCAGACATGGCTGCCTGCTTCTCATGCTAAAGGAAGCATGCAGTCCTCCAACATCAGTGTGAGAACAAGATATTCCTTCTTGGTGGCTGTAACAGGAATTTATGGTTTTAAAAGTATCAATGTTACCCGGTAATTAAAATGTGGCAGTGTTTAGAAGGAAACAAGCAATGGATTCTTATGACAGTCATTCTATATGAACTGGGAAACATAGAGTGTGGAAGTCCTTGAACCAGACCCAGGAAACCCTAGGCTGAAGAGGAACATGGAAGACAGAAAAAGAAAAGGCAATGTGGAGGCCACACCCCATCTAGCATCAATCTATTCAACTGCCATTTGACTCCGGGTATGATAGCCCTCAAATTGGGAGTTTGCCAGAATGCACTCCAAATGTTTCTTGCACATTGGAATACTCCCACGTGAACACTGGACCATGTTGTGGACCACGTGTGCAATTAGGGAAATGCGGGGATAAAATCTGAAGAACACTTTGTGTGAGCTGCCTTCATTTTTTTTTGCAGATGAATTTGTAGGACCTTATCCAGCCCTCAACAGATTATATCCTTATCCCTATGAAGGAATTACTGCTCACACTCCGTGTCACAGGATGAAATCTGAAGATGATGGAAGAATGCCTCCTCATGACATAAAACACCCGCTCAGTTAGGAACTGAATTTGAGGAAAATTCAAGGGGCCTTGTGGACAGGACTGCTAGTGTATCTCCCCGGGTTGGCTGTAGGATAATGAAACACTGGGAGATGTCTGTTTTTTTGGTGTGATGTGCTTTTATGTGTAGAAGAGGGGCTTTTGTTTTTCAGGGGGAGGTGATTTGTACTCCAGTATGTTTCTACCTGCCTCCCAATTCACTGCGGATTCATGACCCACAGAAAAAAACAACGAACACGGAACCCCACAGCCCAAGCAGAGCCAAAAAATGTCCACCAGGAGGTTGTGAGCCAAAAAAAAAAAAAAAAAATGTGTTGAAGTGTGTTGGCCACAGTTCAATAAGCAGAATCCACTTACAGGAAAACACACCCACCCACTCACACCTGCCACCACCACACACACACGAAATACCACACACAGACACAGAAATCCAACACTCAAAACACAGAAACACACAGCGTGGTACAGCTCCTGCAACTGCATGTTTCTGCAGGAAGCCCCACCTGAGAGAGAGCAACCTCAAAGAACAGAGGCAGGCTGTATTAAGAAATCACAGTTGTTCAAGTCTGAAAAAGACTCACCCTTACAACATCTAGGCAGGTCTGAGGAATCTTGCAGATCTTTTTGAATCCTTAGGAATTTTGTGGTTTATTCCTGGGGCTATGCTGACATTTCTTCAGGGTGGCTCATATCTGCCATCTTCTAGGATAATTGGATTACCCTGTGCATTCCACAGAGAAGACCAGTGAGAGCCAACCTCCAATGAACCTCCACGGAGGTCACCTTCTCCACCAAGTGGCAGGGACTTGTCGTGAGGAAACAGTGATAATCATTGTGACTCTAGCCAGAGTTCAGAATCAGGCCTAGTGACCTGAGACCAGCACATTAGCATATGTGATGGAGTCTTGGGCGCCCACCTGTCAGAGCTATCAGCCTGTCTAAGCAGAAAAAATGGTACAGGCAGGTCAGGCTTTCTATCAGGAATAAGGATGCTTGCCAAAACACACTGCTGGGCCATAAAAGTGTTGACCTCAGGGTCCCTTTGGGATTTCTCTATGGTCAGGTCTTGCTGAAGGAGGAGGTGTTTCAAGACTGTAAGGTCCTAGCAGGAAACTTCTCTTCTTACTCCATTCCTGAAAAAGGATGTGCAAGAATGGGGTCCTGTGGGGATTTGAATGTAGTCTGGTGTGTTGTTGAGTGTTCCTTGGGTGACAGAATCATACCTGAGACCCCAGAGGTGGGTGTCAGTGAAAGATGGCAAAGTTCTTGATCTCACTGCCTCTCTTCATCCTGGGCCTGACAGGAGCTCTCTGGGAAAGGCTGGAACCACTACAAAAACAAGTCCAAAATGAAGCAGTTTTCTCCCACCTCTGACTGGCCTCTCCTGGGTGCAGATGAGGTTGAGACAGTGTCTCAGAGGCTGTTTGTGGTGATGGCAAGCCTGAAAAGGGTGTCCAGTCATGCTTTTGAGAAGCACTGTGAATTCCCCATTAAGTCAAAGAAAAATCAAGGCTTGCCTGAGAGAATGAGCTGCCTTGTGCTGGAGTCTAAGCAATGTTCAATGATTCCTGTCAGGACGCAAAAGCCTCCTGCAAAGTGCAAACAACCTTAGTGCCCACAAGGAGACAATGACCCACAACCTGGAGAGCAGTCAGCCTACCCTAAGTCCATTTTGCTTTCTGAAATCCCTGGAAGGTAAATAATATGTGGTGCGAGACAGTCCCATCCAGCAGCAGCCCAATGAAGGAACCCCCTCCACAATGAGAAGGCCATACAGATAAGATGAAACAGAGGCTAGTTTACCATGCAAAATCCTGACAACAGCCTGCTTCTTATTTTACAGGAATAATACAGGCCTCTGATAGAAGTGGGAGAACAAGAGTTTCCTTTTTGGAGGCTCTAACAGGAATTTACAGTTTTAAAAGTATCAAAGTTGCCCAGTCATTAAAACCTGACAATGTTTAGAAGGAAACACTCATGAAATGGATTCCCATGAAAGTCACTTTCTGAAATGGGGAAACATTAGTGTGGAAGTCACTGAGCCAGACCCCAAAAACCCAGTCTGATGATGAACATGGAAATCAGAAAAAGAAGTGGCAAGTCTGGAGGCCATATATCCCACCCTGCATCATGCCATTCCACTTTCATTTGGTTCCAGGTATGAAAGCCCTGAAATCAGAAGTTTTCCAGGATGGCCCCAATTTGCACTGCAAAGGTTCATTGCATATTGGCATATGTGCACCTGAACACTGGGATATGGTATGGACTGCTTGTGCAATTAAGGAAATGCTGCGATGAGTTGGAAGTACCTTCTGTGTCATTTGTCTTCATTTTTGTTGCAGGTGAATTTGTGGGACCCTGTCCACTCCTCACCACATTGTATCCTCACCCCATCTGAACTTATTACTGCTCACACTCTATGTCCCAGGATGAAATCTTACATCATGGCAGAGTGCCCCTTCATGATGTGAAGCACTGCTGGACTGACAACCGAATTGAAGATAAATTCAAGGGGCCCCATGGACAGTACTGCTAGTGTCTCTACCTGGGTTGGCCACAGGACAATAAAACACTGGAAGATGTCTGTTTTTTTTTTTTTTTTTTTTTTTTTTTTTTTTTTTGCATGGTGTGCTCCTCTTCTTTCAGAAGAGTGGCTTTTTTTTTTTTTTTTTTTCTTTTCCCAGGGGAGGTAATTTAATGCTGGTGGGTCGCAGCCCACTTCCCAACTCACAGTAAATTAATGATCCACAGATAAATGAAAAAAAAATTAAACCTTATAGCCCCAGAAGAGCCACACAGACAGGCCACCAAAAGGTTTGGAGACTCAAAAGAAGCATTGCGGTGTGTAGGCCACATTTCTATAAACACATTCCATTTACAGGAACATACACACACACACACACACACACACACACAGACATCCAACACTCACTACGTTCCCACAGAAAAACAGCCTGGAAACTCCTGAGGCTGTATAGTTCTACAGGAAGCCCCAACTGTGAGAGGGCAACTCCGGGGAATAGAGATGGGCTTTACCTAGAAATTACAGCGGGACAAATTTCAAAGAGACTTACCCCTACACAGTCTAGGCAGGCCTGAGGAATCTTGCAGATCCTTTTGGATCATTAGGGATTTTTTGGTTTATTCCTTAGGCTGAGCTTGATGTTTCTGCAGGCTGGCTCATGTCTGCCTTCTTCTAGGATCATGGGATAATCCCGTGGATCCCAGAGAAGACAGGAGATAGTACACCACGGACACACCTCCACAGAGGTCTCTTTCTCCACCAAACCGCAGGGACTTGTGCCTAGGCACTGATGGCATTCATTGTGATGGTAGCCAGAGCTCACAATCAGGCCTGGTTTTCTGAGACTGGCACATTCGCATTCATGAGGCAGACTCTGGTGCCCGACCATCACAGCTGTCAGACTGCCTAAGCAGAGGAAAATGATACAGGCAGAGCTGCCCTGGTATTAGGAAAAAGACTGCCTGTGAAAACCCACGGAGGGACCCTAAAAGTATAGACCTTGAGAACGCGTTTTGAGACTGTGAGGTGGTTGTTGGAAACTGCTCCTCCGAACCCATTCCCAAAGCAGTCTGTGTGCAACAGTCAGAATACATAGGGATTGGAATATAGTCTGCTGTGTTGTTAAGCATTTTTTGGACAATAGAATCATACCTGAGACCCCAGAGACAGGTGTCAGTGAAACACTTCTGGGCTCTTGCCCGCACTGCCTCCCTTCATCCTGGGCTTAGCAGAGACTCCCTGGGAAAGACAGGAACCACGTCAAAGGCAAGTCAAAGAGGGAGCAGCATTCTCACACCTCGGAGTGGCCTCTCAAGCATGCAGATGAGGTTGAGACAGTGCCTCAAGGCTGCGTTTTTGATGGCAAACCTAAAAAGGGTGTCCAGTGTTGCTGTTGAGGGACAATATGGAGTCCCTGAGAAAGCAAGGAAAAACCAACTCTAGCCTGAGAGAACCATCTGCCTTGTGCTGGAAACAATGCTCAATGACTCCTTTCAGAGGACCAAAAAGCCTTATGCAAAGTACAAACAATCTCAGCCCCCATGAGACAACAACCCACAACCTGCAGCACAGCCTGTTTGCCCAAAGTCCCTTTTGCTCTCTGAAATCCCTGGCAGCTAAGTAATCTGTGGAGAAAGGCAGTCTCATCCAGCAACAGTTCAATGAAGAGCTCCTCCACAATAAGAAGGTCATGCAGATTAATGAAACAGAGGCTAAATTAGCCTCCAGGCAAAAGCCAGACGACTGCCTGATTCTCATCCTATAGGAATCATGCAGCCCCTGATAGAGTTGTGAGAACAAGAGTTTCCTTGTTGGTGGCCATAACAGGTATTTATGGTTTTAAAAGTATCAAAGTTGCCCATTTATTAAAAACTGTCAGTGTTTAGAAGGAAACACTCATACAATGGATTCCCATGAGGGTTATTCTCTATGAACTTGGATACATTTAGTGTGGAAGTAGTTGAGCCAGGCTCAGGAAATCCTAGGCTAATGAGGAACATGGAAGTCAAGAAAATAAGAGGCAAGTGTGTAGGCCACATACTACCCAGGATCAATTCATCCTACTCTTTTTGGCTTCAGATACAAAAGCCCTCAAATTCGTAGTTTGCCAGGGTGGCATGAATTTGCACTCCAAATATTCCTTTTGACAAGAACTGCTCAGTGGTATAGACCCTAACCCAGTGGCACTAGAGAAATTAAGATAAAGAAACAGAAATAGGCTGCAAAGTGGGAATCAGTGGGCAAATGGCCTTCAGAACTGAGAACCTCTAACAGAGTTTGACCCACATATGTATTGACAGCAAGTCAGTGGTAGGCATTGTTTCTATGGATTGTAGATTAGGTAAAGGTATTCCTTATGGGAAACAAAGAGACAGGCTTTGGATTATTATCTACATAAGAAACATGTCCTTAAGGCGCAGATCACTCATGCTATTGTCTGTGATTTAGGAACACCTTGAGCAGTTTTCTGTCCTGGGTTAGCCAGGTGTTTCTTGCCCTCATTCCATTAAACCAACAACCTCCAGAGTGGGTGTCATAGCCATCACAAGCATGTAACAGTGTTTTAGAGATTTTGTTTATGGCCAGTTTCTCATGACCTGTTTATGGCCAGGCTTGGGACTTGTTTCCAGCACGTGCTTTTTCTTGCTTTTGAAGGGCAACAAAAGCAAAGGCAGCTTTATCAAGGTGAGTTGCTTCTCACAGGAGTCAAGATCTGCATCTGTACTGCACAAAGATGAACAATACAGATTAATAGTAGAATTATCATAGAAATCACAAAGCCTCCAATTGTATTTATTCATTTCAAAGGATTTATGACTGCCAATCCATCTGCAGCACTGTCAAGCACTTGAGTTCCTGGCATTTAGGTCAGGTATGCCTGGGATGCTTTAAATGTATGTTCTTTTAATTTTGCAACATCCGAAGACAATTTGCAGAGTGTCTTTCTAGATGCTTTTTTATTATTTCCTATTCACACTCTGATTCATTATGAGGGTGAGGAGTGATACAAATTCAGAAGTATTCCAGTCACCTGTTAGCTGCATTTTATATTCCAAACTAGCTACTCGATCTCCCAGCTACATTACAGTTTGTCAGAGATCACTGATTTGATTAACTATCTTTTTATTTTAGTTTGACAGTTTCATAGCAGAAGAGAATTCTTTTGTCATTTATGTACAAAACCTGCTGTCTGCACTGATGGACATAGAAAAACTCCAGCTGCTGCAGCAGTAGCTATGACAACAATCAGTTCCACAACAATCAAGATTAAAGTAGTGAGGAAATGTCAAGACCTTCTCAGAATTTTTTAAATAATTTCATTAATAATACGTACAGAGGGACAGGCTTCCCAAGGATAGTTAAACTTCACCGGTTACCGTACTGCTTCTCAAGCTCTCACTACTAGGAGAGAATGGTTAGTCTTAAATGAGAAAGAGTTAATACAAGAGAACAATCTACATTCCTGGCAAGATATATGATAATTAGGATGTCAAACTTTAGATCGCCCATTATCGATAGAAAAGGGGAGTGAACAGAACTTTGATTCCAAATTGTATTGTTTTTTTAACAAGTTCTAAAATGTAATTAGGATTATATTATGATGGCATAGTATTTAGCCCAAGGTTGGGTGTCACTTGCTGAGACCAGCTCAGTCTTGGAGACACAAACCAAGCAGTGCTAGAGGAATAAAGACACAGACACAGAAATAGAGTTCAAAATGGGATCAGGGGATAACCGCCTTAACAGCTGAGAGCCTGGAACAAAGTTTGATCCACCTATTTATTGACAGTAGGCCCATGATAAACATCATTTCTGCAGTTAATAGATTAACTAGAATTTTTTTTTACAAAGAAGAAAGGGACATGCTCTAGCTTGTTATCTGCAGTAGAAGCATGTCCTTAAGGCACAGATCACTCATGCCATTGTTTGTGATTTAGAAACACCTTAAGCAGTTTTCTACTCTGGGTGGGCCAAATATTACTTGCCCTCATTCTGGTAAACCAGCAACTTCCAGCACAGGCATCATAGCAATCACAAGCATGTCACAGTGATGCAGAGATCTTATTTATGGCCAGTTTGTCCTGGTCTCTTCGAGGCCAGTCTTGGGGTGTGTTCCCAGCAGTTCTTAACAATTGCCCTACTGTGATTTTTAGATAGACTCCACTTGTTTCCCACGGTTACTCTCTCTACCAGGTGGGGCTTCCTGCAGAACCACACTACCTCAGAAGCTACCGGGCTGTTTGCTTATCAGGTAGTGTACGAGTGTTAGATGTCTCTGTGTGTATGTGGCATTGTGTGTGTGTATTTATGTGTGTGTGCCTGTAAGTGGAGTCTGCTTAAAGCAATATGGCTGATGCACTTCAGCACTTGTTTTTTCTCAGTCTCTCAACCTTTTGGTGGCTTGCCTGTGTGGCTTTCCTTGGGCTGCAGAACTGCATGTTTTTTAATTTTCTGTGGATCGTAAATCTGCAGTGAATTGGTAGGCAGGCTGAGATGCACTGGTGTGCAACTTACCTTCCCCAGCAAAAAAAAAATAAAAATAAAAAATAAAATTAAATTAAAAAAAAGGACAGCTCACAGTGTTTCATTGTTTTGTGATCAATCCAGAGAAAGACACTAGCAGTCCTGTCCACACAGCCCCTTGAATTTACCTCGAATTTGGTTTCCAGTCAAGCAGGTGCTTCCTATTATAAGGGGGCACTCCTCCATCATCTTTCCATCCTGGGACATAAAGTGTGAGCAGCAATAAGGTCAGATAAGAGTAAAAATATCATCTAGTGAGGAGTGGATTGGTCCTGCAACTTCACCTGCAAAAAAAAAAAAAAAAAAATTGAAGACATGACACAAAAGGTGCTTCCACCTCCATCCCTGCATTCCCTTAATTGCAAAAGCAGTCCACACCATGGCTCAATGCTCCAGGCAGAAGCCTCACAGCCTTTGCACAGAATAAATTTTTTGTGGCACTACTGGCTGTGGCATGGGACAGACATTGTACAGGGGTGAAAGGGTGACCGGAGCCAGAATTGCCTTGCTTTGGAATGGGGCCCGGGATGGGCCCCTCATGGCATTTCCCAAAATTGGGTGCCCATCTTTAGCAAACTTAGAATGACACTGATTAGTCCAGTATATTCCTTTTTTTTTTTTTCTTTTTTTTTTTTGCATTTTGGACATATTTCAGACTCGGCAGTTTTCTTTTTTCCCTCAACAAGTGGCCTGATACACTGATTTTTTTCCACATTATTTTTAGTATGGCCATGCTTTCTACAATTAAAACAAGCCACAGGTAATGGAGTATTTCCTTTTCCCACTCTCAGTCCTGCCATGGCTTGTGCCAACAAATTTAAGAGAATCTTGTAACCGAGCTACAAAATCTGCATAAGGTTATTTTGGCCCTGTTTGGCAGCAATAAAGTAAGGATATTGTTCTCCTCCTGAAGTGATTTTATTCTCAAGCTCTAATACACACTCCTCTAAGCTGCTCTATGACATAACCTTGCATGACCACTTGTGCATCTAAACCAACCCAGTCTCTGACCCCCAAAAGACCGTGTGCAGTTATATTAATTTGAGGTTGGGCCTGGGCATTGCAAGCAGCCTGAATGGAACATTCATCTGCCCATTAAGTTTTAAATTGTAAGAACTGAGCAGCAGACAGACAAGCTCAAGTAAAAGTATCCCAGTCTGTAGGAATCATCTAACTCGTGACAGCAACATTCTTTAAAATTTCTATTACCAGAGGAGAACCTGGTCCATATTGATTAACAGCTTATTTAAATTCTTTAAGTATTTTAAAAGAAAAATACTCAAATGTAGCTATAAAACTTCCCTGTTGATTGGGGGGTTGTATTGGGTGGTTGTAATAGAGAACTGCCAAGAATCCATATCACCCTCTCATCTAGCTTGTTGGATTCCTGCCTGAATAGAACTGAGCAATCACACTAGGGACTGCTCTAACAGTCAAAGTGGCAACAGTTTTTTATAGAGTGTCCTATGGAAAAGAAATATCTGAAGGATCAGCCCACTCATTTTCTTGAAAATAATGAGGTTGCAGAGGGGTAAGAACAAAACTCTCCCTCTTACTCTCCTTCCTCTGATTCTTCCTCCTCATTGTCTATGTGAAAAGGCTCCAAGGTGTAATGAACCAGAGCCCACACTGACAAGACAGGTATAGGAATATCTTCAGCACCATCCTTATATGCCTTTTTCAATGCACTACCTATATTTTCCCAAAACTCTACATTCATAGTTCCTTGGTCTGGAAACCAGGGGCAATATTTCTCTACCACACTAAAAAGCTGCATGTGTCAGTTACTGATAATCTTCACTTCTCCTTTTCTAAGGAGCTGCCGAAGCAGACTCAAATAAACCTCATGCTTGCTCGACCCTTTTCCCAATTTCCCATTGTTACTCTGATGCTTCCAAGCTCTCCTTCTTACTCACCACAGGGATTGCTTAAAAGCAGAGTGTCTTCCAGTATAGTTCCACATTCTCCAACTTTTCTTCTGGTGACTCTCTGACCCAGCTTTGAGCCCTACATTTGGGCACCACTTGCCGAGACCAGCTTGGTCACAGAGACTCTAACCCAGCAGCACTAGAGGAACAAAGACACAGTCACAGAAATAGAGTGCAATGTGAATATCAGGAAGCTAACAGCCTTCAGATCAGAGAGCCTGAAACAGAGTTTGACCCACACATTTATTGACATCAAGTCAGTGATAAGCATTGTTTCTATAGATTATAGATTAGCTAAAAGCATTCCTAATGGGAAACAGAAAGAGAAGCTTTGGCTTGTTATTTGCAGCACAAAAATGTTCTTAGGTCACAGATCACTCATACTATTGTTTGTGGTTTAGGAATGCCTTGAGTGGTTTTCCACCCTGGGTGAGCCAGGTGTTCCTTGCCCTCATTCTGGTAAACCAACAATCTCCAGAGTGTGTGTCATAGCCATAACGAGCATATCACAGTGTTGCAGATATTTTTTTATGGCCACTTTCTCCTGGTCTGTTTATGACCAGGCTTGGGACCTGTTCCCAGCACCATGACATTGGAGTACTCCCACCTGAACCCTGGGCCATGATGTGGACGGCTTGTGCAATTAAGGAAATGCGGAGTTGGAGTTGGAAACACCTTCTGTGTCATCAGTCTTCATTTTTTTGCAGGTGAAATTGCTCTGGTTCATTACACCTTGGAGCCTTTTCACATAGACAATGAGGAGGAAGAATCAGAGGAAGGAGAGTAAGAGGGAGAGTTTTGTTCTTACCCCTCTGCAACCTCATTATTTTCAAGAAAATGAGTGGGCTGATCCTTCAGATATTTCTTTTCCATAGGACACTCTATAAAAAACTGTTGCCACTTTGACTGTTAGAGCAGTCCCTAGTGTGATTGCTCAGTTCTATTCAGGCAGGAATCCAACAAGCTAGATGAGAGGGTGATATGGATTCTTGGCAGTTCTCTATTACAACCACCCAATACAACCCCCCAATCAACAGGGAAGTTTTATAGCTACATTTGAGTATTTTTCTTTTAAAATACTTAAAGAATTTAAATAAGCTGTTAATCAATATGGACCAGGTTCTCCTCTGGTAATAGAAATTTTAAAGAATGTTGCTGTCACGAGTTAGATGATTCCTACAGACTGGGATACTTTTACTTGAGCTTGTCTGTCTGCTGCTCAGTTCTTACAATTTAAAACTTAATGGGCAGATGAATGTTCCATTCAGGCTGCTTGCAATGCCCAGGCCCAACCTCAAATTAATATAACTGCACACGGTCTTTTGGGGGTCAGAGACTGGGTTGGTTTAGATGCACAAGTGGTCATGCAAGGTTATGTCATAGAGCAGCTTAGAGGAGTGTGTATTAGAGCTTGAGAATAAAATCACTTCAGGAGGAGAACAATATCCTTACTTTATTGCTGCCAAACAGGGCCAAAATAACCTTATGCAGATTTTGTAGCTCGGTTACAAGAGTCTCTTAAATTTGTTGGCACAAGCCATGGCAGGACTGAGAGTGGGAAAAGGAAATACTCCATTACCTGTGGCTTGTTTTAATTGTAGAAAGCATGGCCATACTAAAAATAATGTGGAAAAAAATCAGTGTATCAGGCCACTTGTTGAGGGAAAAAAGAAAACTGCCGAGTCTGAAATATGTCCAAAATGCAAAAAAAAAAGAAAAAAAAAAAAAGGAATATACTGGACTAATCAGTGTCATTCTAAGTTTGCTAAAGATGGGCACCCAATTTTGGGAAATGCCATGAGGGGCCCATCCCGGGCCCCATTCCAAAGGAAGGCAATTCTGGCTCCGGTCACTCTTTCACCCCTGTACAATGTCTGTCCCATGCCACAGCCAGTAGTGCCACAAAAAATTTATTCTGTGCAAAGGCTGTGAGGCTTCTGCCTGGAGCATTGAGCCATGGTGTGGACTGCTTTTGCAATTAAGGGAATGCAGGGATGGAGGTGGAAGCACCTTTTGTGTCATGTCTTCAATTTTTTTTTTTTTTTTTTTTGCAGGTGAAGTTGCAGGACCAATCCACTCCTCACTAGATGATATTTTTACTCTTATCTGACCTTATTGCTGCTCACACTTTATGTCCCAGGATGGAAAGATGATGGAGGAGTGCCCCCTTATAATAGGAAGCACCTGCTTGACTGGAAACCAAATTCGAGGTAAATTCAAGGGGCTGTGTGGACAGGACTGCTAGTGTCTTTCTCTGGATTGATCACAAAACAATGAAACACTGTGAGCTGTCCTTTTTTTTAATTTAATTTTATTTTTTATTTTTATTTTTTTTTTGCTGGGGAAGGTAAGTTGCACACCAGTGCATCTCAGCCTGCCTACCAATTCACTGCAGATTTACGATCCACAGAAAATTAAAAAACATGCAGTTCTGCAGCCCAAGGAAAGCCACACAGGCAAGCCACCAAAAGGTTGAGAGACTGAGAAAAAACAAGTGCTGAAGTGCATCAGCCATATTGCTTTAAGCAGACTCCACTTACAGGCACACACACATAAATACACACACACAATGCCACATACACACAGAGACATCTAACACTCGTACACTACCTGATAAGCAAACAGCCCGGTAGCTTCTGAGGTAGTGTGGTTCTGCAGGAAGCCCCACCTGGTAGAGAGAGTAACCGTGGGAAACAAGTGGAGTCTATCTAAAAATCACAGTAGAGCAATTGTTAAGAACTGCTGGGAACACACCCCAAGACTGGCCTCGAAGAGACCAGGACAAACTGGCCATAAATAAGATCTCTGCATCACTGTGACATGCTTGTGATTGCTATGATGCCTGTGCTGGAAGTTGCTGGTTTACCAGAATGAGGGCAAGTAATATTTGGCCCACCCAGAGTAGAAAACTGCTTAAGGTGTTTCTAAATCACAAACAATGGCATGAGTGATCTGTGCCTTAAGGACATGCTTCTACTGCAGATAACAAGCTAGAGCATGTCCCTTTCTTCTTTGTAAAAAATAATTCTAGTTAATCTATTAACTGCAGAAATGATGTTTATCATGGGCCTACTGTCAATAAATAGGTGGATCAAACTTTGTTCCAGGCTCTCAGCTGTTAAGGCGGTTATCCCCTGATCCCATTTTGAACTCTATTTCTGTGTCTGTGTCTTTATTCCTCTAGCACTGCTTGGTTTGTGTCTCCAAGACTGAGCTGGTCTCAGCAAGTGACACCCAACCTTGGGCTAAATACCGGGTCCAGCATTCCCTGGAATGATGGTTTGGAGCATATGGAACTTTGTCGCAGTTTTCATACTTTTAAAAAATCAGGCCGGGCGCGGTGGCTCACGCCTGTAATCCCAGCACTTTGGGAGGCCGAGGCGGGCGGATCACGAGGTCAGGAGATCGAGACCATCCTGGCTAACACGGTGAAACCCCGTCTCTACTAAAAATGCAAAAAATTAGCCGGGCGAGGTGGCGGGCGCCTGTAGTCCCAGCTACTGGGGAGGCTGAGGCAGGAGAATGGCGTGAACCCGGGAGGCGGAGCTTGCAGTGAGCCAAGATTGCGCCATTGCACTCCAGCCTGGGCGACTAAGCGAGACTCTGTCTCAAAAAAAAAAAAAAAAAAAAAAAAAAAAAATCAGGTAAATGGAGAATGTTAACTGAATTAAGGACCATTAATTCAGTTATACAATCTATGGAGGCATTACAGCCAGGACTGCCTTCTCCTCCTATAAGTCCAGAAAATTGGCCTTTGATAGTCATAGATTTAAAAGACTTTTTTTTTTTTTAAACTATTTCTTCAGCTAAGCAGAACTGTGAGAGTTTTGCATTTATGATTCCTGCAGTAAACAACCTGCACCCTGCTAAGTCTTTTCACTGGAAAGTGTTTCCACATGGCATGTAAAACAGTCCAACAATTTTCAAGATATACGTAGGGCAACCAATTGAACCTACTCATAAAATAGTTTCACAGTGTTACATTACTTATTATATGGATGATATTTTTGTGCTCCCCCAGTCTGGAAATATTACTCCACTGTTATGATCTCTTGCAAATTTGGATTTTTCTTGCTGGTTTATTTATACCTCCTGACAAATTTCAGACTACTACTCCTTACTTCTATTTTCAGGCATTAGTAAATGACAAAACAATAGTCCACAGAAAGTAACCATACATAGGGATCAATTGAAAATATTGAATGACTTTCAGAAATTGCTAGGGGACATTAATTGGGTAGTATCTATTCTAGGCATTCCTACTTATGCCATGGGTAGTCTGTTTTCTATCCTTAGAGGAGTTACTAGTCTCACAAGTCCTCAGCAATTAACAAAAAAAGCTGAGCCAGAGCTGCAGCTAATCAAAAGGAAAGTACACAAGGCCCAAATAAATAGAACAGATCCAGAAAAGACTCTAGATTTACTAATTTTTTCAACTAATCATTCAACTACTGGTGTTATTGTTTAAGAGAAAGATCTTGTAGAGTGGCTTTTCCTTCCACAAACTAATTCATGGATTTTGACTCATCATTTGGATTAAATCACTACTTTGATGGAAAATTGGAGAACTCAGATTGTTAAATTACATGGATATGATCCTGGAAAAATTATTCTCCCTCTCAAGAAGGCACAAATGCAGCAAGCTTTTATAAATAGTCTTACTTGGCAAACTCGTTTAGCTGACTTTGTGGGTATTCCCGATAACCATTTTCCTAAGATGAAACTGTTTCAATTTTTGAAATTAACTAATTGGATTATCCCTAAAATAACTAAATTCCCACCAATTGAAGGTGCTGAAAATGTCTTCACAGATGGGTCTAGTAATGGTTAAGCCTCTTATTCTGGATTGAAAGGCAACGTTTTTCAAACATCCTGTACTTCAGCTCAAAAAGCAGAGTTTGCAGTTGTAATTGAGGTATTGACTGCTTTTAATGTTCCTATTAACGTGATTTCTGATTCTTCATATAGGGTTCATTTTACACAGTTAGTTAAAAATGCTCAGCTATGATTTCACACAAATGAACAACTGATAACTTTATTTACCCATTTGCAAACAGCAGTTAGGAGTAAAACGCACCCTTTTTACATCATTCACATTAGGGATCATACACCTCTTCCAGGACCTATGACTACAGAGAATCAAACGACTTATCACCTAGTTGCTACTGCAATATGTAATGTTATACATTTTTGCAATTTAACTCAAGTTAATGCCTCTGGTTTCAAACACAAATAAAGCATCACCTGGAAAAATCTAAAGCTAGCAATGCCCCACTTGTGAAATGTTCACTCCTTGTTTTTTACAGGGGGAGTTAATCCTTGAGGATTAGAACCTAATTCCCCTTGGCAAATGAATGTCACACATGTTCCCTTGTTTGGGAGTCTAGCTTATGTACACGTATGTGTGGACAAGTTTTCTCACTTTGTCTGGGCTACAATGCCAATCAGTAGAGCCTTCTGCCCTTGTTAAATGTCATGTTTTGCAATGTTTTGCCATGATGGGCATTCCAGTTTCTATTAAAACAGATAATGCCCCAAGCTATACTAGCCAAGCTCTAGCTACATTTTTCTCTATATGGAATATTAAACACATTACTGGTATCCCACAGTGAAAATAATGAATCTCTCCCTAAAACAGTAGTTGCAAAAATAGAAAAGGGGAAACAGTGACTATAGTCCCACACATGCAAATAAATCTAGTATTATTAACTTTAATTTTTTTTAGCATGCCTAAAGGTTTGTTGTTATAAGCAGCTGAGCCACATTTACGGAAGGCAGCTGAAAAGGCAGAAGTGGAACAACAGGTTTGGTGAAAAGACCCAATAACAAAATGTTGGGAAACATAAAATAATAACATAGGGCAGAGGTTACGCTTATGTTTTCCAGGACTGGGTCAACAGCCAATTTTTGTGCCACAGAGACATCTAAAGACCTACTAAAAGCCAGATACCCAGGAGGAGGTTTTGGGAGGATCCTAAAGACCCACTGATAGCTGCATTTTCCACGTTGATTCTGAAGAGACCCGCAACTGTCAAGAGCAACACCCACTGAATGTAGACACCTACTTGGGGACAGATCAAGAAGTTGTCATAGATGACAGAAGAAAACCTGAGAAAGCAGGCCAACCAGTCACAATGAGTAATTTAATGATAGCTATGACAGCAGTGATAGCCATTGCTCTGAGTATTCCTTTAGCAAGGGCTAACACAGAGGACAATTACACTTATTGGACATATTTACCTTTTACACCACTTGTACAACTTGTATCTTGGCTGGACATCTCAATTGAGGGACACACTAATAATAGATTTGGATTCCCAGTCCTGCAGATGACAGAGGCCCATCTTACCCACATGAGGAAGGAAATGTTAAGAATTTTTTAAAGGATTTGAACATTTGCCTATGTGTTTGGGAAAGATCAGTAGTTGCTTCCACCCTCGCTATCAATCTTGGCTGGCAATAATTCCTCTATGGCACAGTTACACTTGCTTTCTGGTCTCAGTATTTACTATAATGAATCTGCTCCTGTAATAGAGGTATATCACCCTCAGAAACCTATTTGTAAACAGGATTGGACCTGGTCAGAAAAAATAAACGTTCTTGTTTGGGAAGTTTGCATTGCAGGACAGGCAGAGGTGCTGCACAACTTTTCCTATGGAATCATTATTGATTAGTACCATAAGGGGTGCTTAGCATGAACTGCACCTCTCAGTCTGCATGCGATGGCCACACTATGTTCAGCTGGTCTGAACAAAATGATCAGATGGTAGAAATGATAAGAAGTATGGTAAGAGTTCCCATTATCTGGGAATATGGCAGTATAGTGGCACCTCAACCTCAAATGATAGGGCCCACTGTGGGAGCTAAACATAAGAATTTGTGGAAACTGTTAATGGGAAGGAAGGGAAGATTTGGGAAGGAAAATACACTATACCAACACAATATAATCCTAATTACATTTTAGAACTTGCTGAAAACCGAACAATTTGGATGCAAAGTTGTGTTCATCTTCCTCTTCTGGTGATAATGGGTGATCTAAAGTTTGACATCCTTAATTATCTTGTAACTTGCCAAGAATATAGATTGCTCTCTTTTGTGAACTATTCCTTGTTTAATACTAGCCAATTTATTCTAGTAGTACGAGCTTGAGAAGGAGTTATGGTTACCGGTGAAGTTTTCCCATCCTTGGGAAGCCTCTCTCTCTGTACATACTATCACTAAAATTCTTTAGGTAGTCACGAGACACTCTCAGCATTTCATTGCTACTTTAACCTTGATTGTTATGAGACTGATTGCTGTCACAGGTACTGCAGCAGTAGTTGGAATTGTGCTACATTCATCAGTGCAGACAGCAGATCTTGTAAATGAATGGCAAAAGTATTCCACTCTGCTGTCTCAAGTTAAAATAGATCAAAAGATAGTTAATCAAATCAATGATCTCCAATAAACTGTAATGTAACTGGGAGATTGACTAGCTAGTTTGGAATGTAGAATGCAGTTAACATGAGGCTTGAATATTTCTGACTTTCGTATCACTCCTCACACTTAAAGGAATCAGAGCATGAATGTGAAATAATAAAAAAGCATCTAGAAGGACACTCTACAAACTGGTTTTTTTGATGTTGCAAAATTAAGAGAATTAATATTTAAAGCATCCCAGGCACACCTGACAATATTGCTAGCAAATGGAGTCTGTGAAGGAGCTGCAGATGGATTGCAACCATAAATCCTTTGAAATGGATAAAAACACTTGGAGGTTCTGTGATTTCTATGATGGTTGTGCTATTAATCTGTGTTGTTTGTCTTTGTGTAGTCTGCAGATATAGATCCTGACTCCTGTGAGAAGTAGCTCACCATGATAATGCCACCTTTGCTTTTATTGCCCTGCAAAAACAAAAGGGGGGACATGCTGGGAAGAGGCCCCAAGCCTGGCCATAAACAGGTGGTGAGAAGCAGGTCAGAAACGAGATCTCAGCAACACTGTGACATGCTCCTGATGGCTATCATGCCCATGCTGAAGGTTGCTGGTTTACCAAAATGAGAACAAGGAACTCCTGGCACATCCAGGGCAGAAAACCTCTCAAGGTGTTCCTAAACCACAAACAATTGTGTGAGTGACCTGTGTCTTAAGGACACATTCCTGCTGCAGATAACAAGCCAGAGCCTGTCCCTTTGTTCTCCAAAGAAATACTTTTAGTTAATCTGTAAACTGCAGAAATGATGTTTATGATGGGTTTACTGTCAATAAATTGGTGTGCCAAACTTTGTTCAAGGCTCTCAGTTCTAAAGGCCGTTATCACCCTGATCCCAATTTGCAATCTAATTCTGTGTCTGTTTCTATTTCTCCAGCACTTCTGAGTTAATGTCCCCATGATTGAGCTAGTCTTAGCAAAGAAACCCACCCCTGCAAGGTCTAGGCAGTCTTGAGGAATCCTTCAGATCCTTTTGGATACTTAGAAATTTTGCAGTTTATTTCTGAAGCTTTGCTTGATATTTCTTCAGGCTGGCACATGTCTACCGTCTCCTAGGCTGATGAAATTATACTTCAGAGAAGGATCACACAGAGAAGACAGATGAGAATCCATAGCCATCACACCTCCATGGAAGTCTCCTTCTCCACCAAGCCACAGTGACTTCTCACAAGGCAATGGTGACATTCATTGTGACACCAGCCAGAGTTCACAGCCAACTTTGGTGCATGTGGACTAGTGACACAGGCTCAGGTTCCCAGCTCTTAGAGCTGTCAGCCTGCCTAAGCAGAGAAAAATGGTACTGGCAGAGTGGGCCTAGTAATGGGAAAAATTCTGCCTGTGAAAACCTACTGCAGGATTGTAAAAACCTTGACCCCAGGCCCCTTTGGGCCATCTCTGTGGTTGTGTCACACTGGAGGGGATGGCATTTTGAGACTGTGAGGTGGTCACTGGAAATTGCTCTTCTGACTCCATTCCTGAAAAACAGTGTGGCAAGAATTGGGCCCCATGGTGATTGGAATATAATCTGGTGTATTATTGAGAATTCTTTGGATGATGGAAGCATGCCTGCGACCCCAGAGACAAATGTCGGTGAAAGATGGCCGGGCTCTTGACCTCACTGCCTTCCTTCATTCTGGGCTCTGCAGGAGCTCTATGGGAAAGATAGGAGACAAGACAAAGACAAGTCCAAGGTGAAGCAATGTTCTCACACCATGGACTGTCCATTCATGGGTGCAGAGGAGGGTGCCAGTGTCTCAGAGGCTGTCTGTGATGATCATAAGCCCAAAAAGGGTGTCCAGTAGTGCTGTTGACCAGCACTGTGAATTTCCCATGAAAGCAAAGAAAAATCAAGGCTTGGCTGAGAGAGCAAGCTGCCTTGTACTAGAGTCCAAGCAATGTTCAATGATTCCTGTCAGAGAACAAAAAACCTCTGCAAAGTTCAAACAATCTCAGCCCCCAGGAGAAAACTACCCACAACCCGGAGCACAGAAAGCCTACCCAAAGTCTTTTTTGCTCTCTGAAATTCCTGGCAGCTAAATAATCTGTGGCAAGAGGCAGTCCCATCCAGCAACAGCCCAGTGAAAAACATCTCCACAATGAGAAGGCTGTGCTGATGAAATGAAATAGAGGCTAGATTACCTGGCAAAAGCCAAGCGTGGCTGCCTGCTTCTCATCTTACAGAAATCACATTGAAAGTAGGAGAACAAGAGTTTCCTTGATGGTAGCTGTAATGGGAATTTATGGTTTTAAAAGTATCAAAGGTGCCCAGTCATTAAAATATGACAGTGTTTAGAAGGAAACATCCATGCAATTGATTCTCATAAAGGTCATTGTCTGTGAACTGGGAAAAGTTTAGTGTGGAAATCATTGAGCCAGACCCAAGAAAACCTATGCCGAGAAAGAACATGGAAGTCAGGAAAAGAAGAGGCAAGTATGCAGGCCACATACCACCCAGCATCAAACTATTCAACTCACATTTTCTTTTGGGTATGAAAAACCTCAAATCAACAGTTTGCCAGGATGGCCCCCATTTGTACTCCAAATGTTTCTTGCACCTTGTAGTACTCCCACCTGAACAACTGACCATGGTGTGGACTGCTTTTGCAATTAAGGGAATGCAGGGATGGAGTTGGAAGTACTTTCCGTGTCATCTGTCTTTATTTATTTATTTTGCAGGTGAAGTTGCTTGACCCCATTCACCCTTCACCAGATTGTATCCTCAGCTCTATCTGATCTTATTGCTGCTCAACTCTATGACCAAAAATGATATCCCAAGATGATAGATGAGAGTTCCCTCATGAAGTGAAGCCCCTGCTCAGCTGGGAACTGAATTGAGGTAAATTCAAGTGGCCTTGAGGACAGGACTGCTAGTGTCTGTCTCTGGACTGGCTGCAGGACAATGAAACACTTGAAGATTTCTGTTGTTTGGTGTGCTGTGCCCCCTTTCTTTCTAGAAGATGTCTTTTTTCTTTTTTTCTTTTTCTCTTTTTTTCCTAGAGAAGGTGATTTGGATGCCAGCAGGTATCCACATGCCACCCAATTTATTGTGGAATCATGATCCTCAGAAAAATAAAAAAAAAAATCATGGGGCTGGGCAGCCCAAGCAGAGTCACACTGATAGGTCGCCAAAACAATGGGAGACTCAGGAAAAAGAAATGCTGAAGTGCTGTAGCCACATTCCTTTAAGCTGACTCCACTTACATGCACACACACACATACACACACACAATGCCACACACACAGGTAGACATCCAACATTCACAGAAACCCTGGGGAACAGATGCAGGCTGTACCTGGAAATCAAAGTTTCAAAAAGCCTCACCCCTACAATGTCTAGGCAGGTTTGAGGAGTGTTGCAGATATTCTTGGATCCTTAGATATTTCGTGGTTTATTCCTGGGGCTCTGATTGGCGTTTCTTCAGAATGGCTCAGGTCTGCCCTCTGGTAGGATTATGGAACTATCTCCTGGATTGCACAGAGAAGACAGGCAAGAATCCATTGTCGACACACCTCTATGAAGGTCTTTTTATCCGCCAGGCCTCAGAGAATTGTCATTATTCAACAGTGACATTCATTGTGAAGCTAGCCAGAGCTCACAATCAGGCCTGGTTCCCTGAAACTAGCAATGAGCATTTGGGAGGCAGACTCAGGCGCCTGGCTTTCAGAGCTGTCAGTGGAGGAAAATGGTACAGGAAGAGCTGGCCTTGTATCTGGATCTAGGCTGCCTGTGAAAACCCACTGCAAGACACTAAAATTCTTTTTTTTGTTTGTTTTTGTTGTTGTTGTTGTTTTTTGAGACGGAGTCTCACTCTGTCATCCAGGCTAGAGTGCAGTGGCGCGATCTCGGCCCACTGCAAGCTCCGCCTCCCGGGTTCCCGCCATTCTCCTGCCTCAGCCTCCCGAGTAGCTGGGATTACAGGCGCCCGCCACCACCCCAGCTCATTTGTTTTGTATTTTTAATAGAGACGGGTTTTCACCATGTTTGCCAGGATGGTCTCAATCTCCTGACCTCGTGATCCGCCCACCTCGGCCTCCCAAAGTGCTGGCATTACAGGCGTGAGCCACTGCCCCCTGCCGACCCTAAAATTCTAAATCTCAGGGCTTCTTCAGCCTATGTCTGTTGTCGGGTCCCACCGGAAAAGGAAGCATTTTGAAACTGTGAGTTGGTGGCTGGAAACTGCTCTTCTGACTATTCCTGAAAGAGGCTGTGTGCAAGAATCAGGTTCTATGGTGATTGGAATATAGCCTGGTGGGTTTTTGAGGGTTTTTCAAGTGATAGAATCACACTTGAGACCCCTGAGGCTATGTCAGTGAAAGATAGCCGGGCTCTTGACTTCACTGCCTCCCTTCATCCTGGGCCTCTCAGGGGCTCTCTGGGAAAGACAGGAACCACGACAAAAACAAGTCCAAGTGGAGCAGTGTTTTCACACCTTGGAATGGTCTCTTATGGGTTCAGATGAGGTTGAGACAGTGCCAAGACCAGCTCAGTCGTGGAGACCCCAACACAGCCACACAAAAGGAATGAAGACAAAGACACAGGAATAACGTGCAAAGTAGGATCAGTGGGCTAACAGTCTTCAGAGCTCAGAGCCTCGAGCAGAGATTGACACACATATTTATTGACAGTAAGACAGTGATGATCATTGTTTCTATAGATTATAGATTAGCTAAAAACATTCTTTATGGGAAACAAGACATTCTTAGTGAGGAGCTGAGAAATAGGCTTTGAAGGCACAGATCACATGCTATTGTATGTGGTTTAGAAAGGCCTTGAGCAGTTTTCCACTCCACCTGCATCAGCCAGGTGTTCCTTGCACTCATTCCAGTAAACCAGCAACCTCCAGCGGGAGCATTGAACTCATCAGGAGTATGTCACATTGCTGCAGATATCCTGTTTATGGTCAGTTTCTTTCAGGCCTGTTTATGACAGGATTTGGACCTTTTCCCAGCAGATAGTGTGTCAGAGACCTTCTGTGCTGATGGCAAGCCTGAAAATGGTGTCCAATAGTGGGGGGACACTGTGGAATCCCCATGAATGCAAAGAAAAATCATCGTTCACCTCACAGAATGCGGTGCTTTGTGCTGAAGTCCAAGCGGTGTTCACCCATTCCTCTCAGAGGACCCAAAACTTTCTACAAAGTGCAAAACACCTCAGTCCCAACAGTGAGAAAATGACGCACAACTTGGAGTGCAGCCAGCCTATCCAAACCCTCTTTTGCTTTCTAAAATCTCTGGCAGCTAAATAATCTGTGACGAGAGGCATCACATCCAGCAACAGCCCAGTGAAGAGCTGCTCTACAATGAGAAGGCCATACAGATGAAGTGAAACAGAGGGTAGATTACCAGGCAAAAGCCAGACACGACTGTCTGCTTCTTATCCTACAGGAATCATGTGACCTTCATAGAAGTGAGACATCAAGACTTGCCTTGTTGGTGGCCGTAGCAAGAATTTACTGTTAAAAAGTATCAAAGTAGCCCAGTCATTAAAAAGTGACAGTGTTAAGAAGGAAACACTCATGAAATGGACACCCTTGAGGGTTGTTGTCCATCAACTGGGAAATATTTAGTGTGGAATTTGTTGAGCCAGACCCAGGAAACTCTAGGTTGAAGACAAACATGGAAGTCAAAAAAAGAAGAGGCAAGTCTGGTGGTCACTTTCAACCCAGCATCAATCCATTCCACTTTCATTTGACTCTGGGTACGAAAACCCTTACATAGGGAATTTGAGAGGATTGCTTCAATTTTTACTCCTAATATTTTTTGCACCTTGCAGTACTCCCACCTGAACACTCAGTCATGCTGATGACTGCTTTTGCAATTAAGGGAATGTGTGGATGGAGTTGGAAGCACCTTCTGTATCAACAGTCTTCATTCTCTTTGTAAGTGAAATTGTGGGACCACATCCACCCCTCACTAGATTGTACCCTCACTGCATGTGACCCAATTGCTATTCACACTCCATGCCCCAGGTAAAATCCCAAGACAATGGAGGAGTTACCCTTCATGATGTGAAGCACCTGCTCAGCTAGGAACTTAATCTGAGTTAAATTCAATAGGCCCTGTGGACAGGACTGTTAGTGTCTCTTCCTGGAGTGGTGCAGGGCAACAAAACCTTGGGAGATGTCTGTTTTTTTGGTGTGGTGTGCCCTTCTCCTTTCTAGGAGAAAGACTTTTTTTGTAGGGAAAGGTGATGTGGATGTTAATGGGTCATACTCCACATTTCAATTCACTTAGAATTCCTGATCCTCAGAAAAATAAAGAACATGGATCTCTACTGCCCAAGCAGAGTCACACAGGCCACAAAAAGGTTGTGAAACACAAAATAAAAAACACTGAAGTGAGTTAGCCACACTACTTTAAGCAGACTCTACTTACAGGCACACAAACGCACACACACACAAACACACAGTGCCAAACACACACACAGACATACAACACTTGCAACACTCCCACAGAAACATACAGCTCAGCAACTTTTGAGGCTACATCTTTCTGCAGGAAGCCCAACCTGGGAGACAGCAACCCCCAGGAACAGAGACGGGCCATACCTAGAAATTACAGTGCGACCAGTTTCCCAAAGACTCATCCCTACAACGTCTAGGCAGGCCCAAGACATCCTGCAGATTCTTTTGGATTTTCAGTGATGTGCAGTTTATTCCTGCAGCGGTGCTTGATTTTTTTTTCAAGCTGGCTCACTTCTGCCCTCTCCTACGATTATGGGACTTTACTGTGGATCTCACAGAGAAGACAGGTGAGAGTCAACAGCCTTTGCTCCTCCACAGAGGTCTTCTCCACCAAGCCAGTGACTTGTCGCTAGGCAACAACAGCAATATTCATTGTGATGCTAACCAGAGTTCACAGATCAGGCCTGGTGTGCTGGGACTCCTGCATGCACATTTGAGAGGCAGGCTCAGGCTCCTAGGTGTCAGAGCTGTCAGGCTACCTAAGGAAAAATGGTACAGGCAGAACCTGCCTGGCATTGGGGAAAAGACTGACTGTCATAACCCCCTTCAGAACCTAATAATTCTCGACCTCAGGGCACTTTGGGCCATTTCTGTTGTTGAATTCTGCTAGAAATGGAGGTGTTTGGAGACTGTGAGGAGGTCACTGGCATCTGCTCTTCAGACTGCATTCCCAAAAGAGGCTGTGTGCAAGAATCAGGTCCCATGGGGACTGGAATATAGTCTGGTGAGTTGCTGAGAGGTCCTTGTGTGATGCAATTTGTACCTGTGACACCAGAGGCAAGTGTCAAGGAAAGATGGCTGAGACCTTGACCTCGCTGACTCCCTTCATTCTGAGCCTGACAGGAGCTCTCTGGGAAAGGCAGGAAGCATGGCAAATATATATATATATCTCCAAGTTGGAGCACTTTTCTAACCTTTCAAACTTGCCATGCAATAATGAAGATGTGGTTCAGACAGTTTCTCATAGGCCATCTGAAAATGGTGTCCGGTAGTGCTATTGAGGGGCAGTGTGGATCCACCATGGAAGCAAAAAAAAATCAAGACTCACCTGAGAGAATGAGACAACATGTCCTGAAGTGCAAGCAATGTTCAAAGATTCATGTCAAAGGACCAAAAAACCTCCTGCAAAGTTCAGTCAAATTCAGTTTCCACAAACAGACAATGGCCCACAACCTGGAAGGCAGGTTACTGTAGGTATCCTTCCCAAAGTCCCTTTTGCTCTCTGAAATCCTGGGCATCCAAAAGATCTGTAATGAGAAGCAGTCCCATCTGGCAACAGCCCAGTGAAAGATCCCCTCCACAATGAGAAAGGACGTGCAGATGAAAAGAAACAGAGATAAGATTACCAGGCAAAAGCCAGACATGGTTGCCTGCTTCTCATCATTCAGGAATCATGCAGTCCTCCAATAGAAGTGAGAGAACAAGAGTTTAACTGTTGGCAGCTGTAATGTACATTTATGGTTTGAAAGTATCACAGCTGCCCAGCTATTGATACATTACAATGTTTAGAAGGAAACACGAAATGGATTCTCATGAGGGTCGTCCTTCGTGAAGTGGGAAACGTTTAGTGTGGAAGAAGTTGAGCTAGATTCAGGAAACCCTAGGTCGACAAGGAACATGAAAGGAAAAGAAGCAAAGGTGGAAGCTACATCCCATCCAGCATCAATTCATTCCACTTCCATTTGGCTCCTGGTATGAAAGCCCTCAAATGGGGAATTTGCCAGCCTTACCCCTGTTTGCACATCAGATGTTCCCTGCACATTTGATTACTTCCATCTGAACACCTGACCTTGGTGTGGACTGCTTGTGCAGTTAAGGAAATGCAAGGATGCATTTGGAAGCACTTTCTGTGTCACCTGTCTTCACTGTTTTTTGCGGGTGAAGGTGTGGAAACCCAAACAACTCTCACCAGATTGCTTCTTCATCGCTATCTGACCTTATTGCTGCTCACAATCTATCTCAGAATAAGATCCCAAGATGATGGAGGAGTGTTTCTCTATGATGTAAAGCACTGAGTATCTGGGAACCGAATTTGAGGTAAATACACGGGGCCTGCAGACACCATTGCTACTGCCTCTTTGTGGGTTGGCTGCGGGACAGAGAAACACTGGAATATATCTGTTCTTGGCTGTGGTGTTCTCCTCTTTCTTTTTAGAGAGTGACCTTTTTTTTTTTTTTTTTTCAAACAGAGATAATTTGGACCCCAGAGGGTCTCAATCACCCTCCCAATTTATTGCAGATTCATGATCCAAAGAAAAATAAAGAACACAGTGCCCCTCAGTCAAAAGAGATCCACACAGACAGCCCACCAAAAGATTGGGAGAATCAATAAAAAGAAACACTGAAGTGCAGTAGCCACATTTGTTTAAACAGACTCCACTTACACACACACACACAAACACACACACAGACATCCAAATGTCACAACATTGCCACAGGAACACTGAGCCCCACAGCTCCTGAGGCTGCATGGTTCTACAGGAAGCCCCACCTGGGAAGGAGCAACCCCAGGGAACACAGGTGGACTATATCTAGAAATCACAGTGGGGTAAGTTTCCAAAAGACTCACCCCTACAACATCTAGGTAGGCCTGAGGTATCTTGCAGATAATTTTGAAATTTTAGGGATTTTGTGTTTTATTCCTGGGGATCTGCTTGACATTTCTTCAGGCTGACTCATGTGTGCCCTCTCCTAGGATCAGACTATCCCATGGATCCCACAGAGAAGACAGTTGAGAGTCCACCACTGACACATCCGTGGAGGTCTTTCTTCCCCAAACCATAGGGACTTGTCGGTAGGCAATGGTAGCATTCATTGTGATGCTAGCCAGAGCACACCATTTAGACCTGGTGCCCTGAGACTAGTGCATGTGCATTTGTGAGGCAGGCTCAGGTGCTCAGTTGTCAGATCCGTCAGCTTGCTAAAGAAACCTGTGAATAGAAGTGGTAGAACAAGTTTCTTGTTTCCTTCTTGGCGGCTATAATGCAAATTTAGTTTTAAAAGTATCAAAGTATCAAAGCTGTCCTGTCATTAAAATGTGACAATCATCAGAAGGAGACACACAATGCATTCCTATGAGAGTCATCATCTGAGAATTGGGAAGCATTTAGTGTGGAAGACCTTGAGCCAGAGAAAGGAAACCCTAGGCTGACAAGGAACATGGAAGTCAGGAAAAGAAAGGGCAAGTGTGTGGAGTCCATATCCCTCCCAGCATCAATCCATCCCACTCCCATTTCCCTGTGGATATGAAGGCCCTCAAATAGGTAGTTTGCCAGGTTGGCCCCAGTTTACACTCCAAATATTCTCTGCACATTAAAGTACTCTCATCTGAACACCGAGACATAGTGTGGATTGCTTGTATTTCCTAATCTGCAAAGCCGCGGCAACTTCTCAGTAGGCAATGATGGCATTCATTGTGTCAATAGCCAGAGCTCACAGCTCAGGCCTCATACCCTGAGACTAGCGCACGCGTATGCGCGAGGCAACTTTGGGCCCCCGGATATCAGATTGTCAACCTGCCTAAGAAAAGGAAAGTGGTACAGGCAGAGCCTGCCTGATATCAGGAAAAGGCTTCCTGCGATAAGGTACTGCAGCACCCTAGAAATCTTGACCTTAGGGTCCATTCGGGCTGCTTCCTTGGTCACATTTCACTGGAAAAAGTCATTTTGAGAGTGTGATGTGGTCGCTGGAAAACTGCTCTTTTGACTCCAGTTCTGAAAGAAGCTGTATGTAAGAATTGGGTCCCATGGGGACTGGAATATAGTCTGGTAAGCTGTAGAAAAGTCTTCGTGTGATAGAATAATAAGTGAGACCCCAGAGACAGATGGCAGTGAAAGACATCCTGGCTCTTGAACTCACTGCTTCCCTTTATCCTGTGCCTCTCAGTGGCTCTCTGGGAAAGTCAAGAACCACGACAAATGCAAGTCCAAAGTGGAGCAGTGTTTTCACAACCCACACTGGCTACTCACAGGTACAGATCATGTTGAGATACTGTCTCAGAGGCCATCTGTGGCAATTGTAAGAATGAAAAGGATGTCCAGTAGGGCTATCGAGGGGCACTCTGGATCACCCATACAAGCAAAGAAAAATCAAGGCACACTTGAGAGAATGAGATGACTTCTGCTGGAGTCCAAGCAATGTCAAAGATTCCTGTTGGTGAACCCAAAAGCTACCTGCAGAGTGCACACATCCTCAGCACTGAAATCAAGACCATGATCCAAATCCTGGAGTGTAGCCAGCCTAACCGAAGTTCATTTTGCTTCCTGAAATCCCTAGCAGCCAAAGGATCCGTGTCAAGTGCAGTCCCATTCAACAATAGCCTAATGAAAGACCCCCACCACAATGAGAAAGGATGTGCAGATTCCGGGAAACAAAGCCTAGATTACCAGGCAAAATACGGACACAGCTGACTGCTTCTCATCCTACAGGAATCATGCAGCCCTCCAATAGGAGTAGGAGAACAAGAGTTTCCTTGTTGGCAGCAGTAACAGAAGTTTATGGTTTTAAAAGTATCACAGCTGCCCAGTCACTAAAATGTGACAGTGTTTAGAAGGAAACACTAAGAAAATGGATTCCCATGAAGGTCATCCTCTGTGAACTGAGAAATGTTTAGTGTGGAAGATTGAACCAAAACCAGGAAACCCTAGGCTAATGAGAGACATGGAAGTCAGAAAAATAAGAGGCAAGTGTGGAGGCCACATCCTACACAGCATCACTGCATCCCACTTCTATTTTGATCCAAGTATGAAAGTCTCAAATAGGGCATTTGCCAGGATATCCCAGTGTGCAATCCAAATGTTCCCTGAAAGTTAAAATAGTCCCACCTGAACACTGGGCCACGGTGTGGACTGCTTGTGTCACAAAGGGAAAGTGGGAATGCAGTCAGAAGCACTTTTTTTTTTGTCATCTGTATCTTTTTTTCCAGGTGAAGGTGTGGGACCCCTCCACCTCTCTCCAGATTATATTCTCACCCCAAATGACCTTATTACTGCTTACATTCTCTGACTCAGAATGAAATCCCAAGATGAAGGAGAGCCCCGATACAACATGAAGCATGTGGTTGGCTGGGAACCAAATTCAAGATAAATTCAAGGGGCCTGTGGACAGGACTGCTAGTGTATCTCCCAGGGTTGACTGCAGGACAATGAAACACTGGGCTATGTCTATTTTTTGGTATGATGTACTCCTCTACTTCCTGGAAGGGTGTTGTTTTGTTTGTTTGTTTTTGTTTTTTCAAGGGGAGGTGTTTTGGACAACAGTGGGTCACAGTGAGTCTCCTAATTCACTAAGGATTCATGATTCAGAGAAAAATAAAGAAAATAAAGCTCTGCAGCCAAGCAAAGCCACACAGTCCACAAAATTGTTGGGAGATTAAAAAAAAAAAAAAAGAAGCAGCATTGCAGTGCATTAGCCACATTATTTTAAGCAGACTCCGCTTAAAGCCACACACTCACACACACACACAGACATCTAATACTTGCAACACTACCACAGAAACACACAGCATGGCAGCTTCTGAGACTGCATGGTTCTGCAGGAAGCCTCACCTGAAAGAGAGTGATCATGGGGAACACAGGCTGTCTGTACCTAGAAATGATAGTGGGGAAAGTTTGAAAAAGACTCACCCCTACAACATCTAGGCAGGCCTGAGGCAACCTGCAGATCTTTTGGATCTTTAGGGATGGGCGGTTCATTCCTGGGGCTCTGCTTCATGTTTCTTGAGGCTAACTCATGTCTGCCCTCTCTTAGGATTATTGGACCATCACGTGGATTCCACAGAGAAGACAGGTGAGAGTCCACCATTGATGCACCTCCAGGGAGGTCTCTTTCTCTGCCAACCTGCAGGGACCTGTCGCTAGACAATGGTGGCAGTTATTATGATGCTAGCCAGAGCTCATAGCTCAGGCCTGGTGCCCTGAGACTAGTGAGTGTGCATTCATGAGTTAGTCGTGGGTGCCTGGGTGTCCTAGCTATTAGCTTGCTTATGCAGAGAATAATGTTACATGCATTGCCATCCTGGTATCTGGAAAAGTTCTGGAAAAACCCACTGTGGGACCATAAATGTCTTTAAAGCCCATTCGAGCCATTTTAATAGTTGGGTCCCACTGGAGGAGGAGATGTTTCGAGACTGAGATGGTGGCTGGAAACTGCTCTTCTGACTCTATTCCCAAAAGAGATTGTGTGCATAAATTGGGTTCATGGGGATTGGAATGTAGTCTGGTGAGTTTTGGAGGGGTCTTTGGTTGACAGAATCATACCTGAGATTCCAGGGGTGAATGTCAACGAAAGATAGTCGGACTCTTGACCTAAATGCTTGCATTCACTTTGAGCCTGGTAGGGACTCTCTGAGAAAGGCAGGAATGACCACAAGGTGAAGCAGTGTTCCCTAAAATCTATGGCAGCCAGAGATATGTGGTGAGAGGAAGTCCAATCCAGCAACAGTCCAATGAAGACCACCTCCACAATGAGAAAGGTGAGCAGATGCAATGAAAGAGACTTTAGATTACCAGACCAAAGCCAGACTCTGCTGCCTGCTTCTCATCCTATAGCAATTGTGCAGCCATCTGATAGAATTAGGAGAATAAATGTTCTTTTGTTGATGGTTGTATCTGGAATTTATGGTTTTAAATGTATCCTAGCTGTCAAGTCATTAAAACATGACAGTGTTTACAAGGAAACCCTCAGTGTTTACAAGGAAACCCTCAAGATTCCCAAGAGGGTTGTCTTCTATGAACTGGTAAATACTTAGTATGGGCAATCTTGAGACAGACACAAGAAACTCTAGGCTGATGAGGACCCTGGAAGTCAGGAAAAGAAGAGGCAAGTGTGAAAGCCACATCCCATCCACCATTAATACATCCCACACTCATTTGGCTGGTGGTATGAAAGCCCTTAAATAGGGAGTTTTCCAGGATGGCCCCAGATTGCACTCCAAATGTTCGTTGTAGTACTTCTGCCTGAAAACCGAGCCATGGTGTGAACTGCTTGTCCATTAATAGAAAGTGGGGATGCAGTTGAAAGCACCTTTTGTGTCATCTGTCTTCACTCTTTTAGGAGGTAAATTTGCGGGACCCTATCCACTCAGGTAGAATTATATTCTTCTACCTGAACTTTATGCTGCTCACACTTTCTATCCCAGTGTGAAATCTTTAGACAATGAGGGAGTGTTACTTCACGAAGTGAAGCACCTAGTCTACTGGTAATCAAATTCGAGGAAAATTCAATGGCCTCTGTGGACAGGATTGCTCGTGTTGCTTTTTGGTTTGGCCACAGGACAATGAAACACTGGGAGATATCTGTTCTTTGGTGTGAGTTTCTCCTCTTCTTTCTAGAAGACTAGCTTTTTTTGGACCCTGGCAGCTCTCAGCCAGCCACCCCATTCACTGTGAAATCATGATTCATAGAAAAATAAAGAAGATGCAGCCTCACAGACCAAGCAGAGCTACACAGACAAGTTACCAAAGGGTTTGGAGACTCAGTAAAAAGAAGTGCTGCAGTGTGTTACCCACATTCCTTTAAGCAGAATCCACTTACAGGCACACACACACACACACACACACAGATACACACACGCACAGAACCTCATATAGATGCAGACATCCGACACTGGAAACACTTTCACAGAAACACAGAGCCTGGCAGCTTCTGAGCTTCTGAGCTGCAGGAAGCCCCACCTGGGAGAGAGTAACTCCTGGGAACAAAGGCCTTCTTTAGATAAAAATCACACTTAGGCAAATTTCAAAAATACCAAGTGCAAAATGTCTAGACAGGCCTGCGGAATGTTCAAATCCTTTTTGGATCCGTAGGGATTTCGCGGTTTATTTCTGGTTCTCTTCTTGATGTTTCATTAGGCTGGTTCACATCTGCCCTCTCCTAGGATCATGAGATAATTCCATAGATCCCACAGAGAAGACAGGCTAGAGTCCACGGCCGACACACCACCAAGGAGGTCTCCTCCACCAAGCCACAGGGACTAGTCGCTAGACAATGGTGGCCTCCAATGAGATGCCAGACTGAGGTCACAACTCATGCCTGGTGCCCTGAGACTAGTGCATGCACATTCGCGAGGCAGGCTTGGGCGTCCAGCTGTCAAAGCTGTCAGACTGCTTAAGCAGAGAAAAATAGTACAGGCAGATACAGACCTGTTATCGAGAGAAAGGCTTCCTGCAAAAACCCCCTGTGAAACCCTAAAATTCTCTACCTCAGCACCTCTTCTAGCCATCTCCGTCATTGGGTTCTACTAGAGGACAAGGCATTTGGGGACTGTGAGGTAGTCGCTGGAATTGGCTCTTCTGACTCCATTTCTGAAAGAGGCTGTGTGCAAGAATCTGGTCCCAGAGCAATTAGAATGTAGTCTGGTGTGTTGTTGAGGGTTCTTTGGGTAATAGAACCATATCTGAGACCAAAGAGGTGGGTGTCAGCAAAGGTGTCAGGGCTCTTGACTTCATTCCCTCTGTTCCTTCTGGGCCTCGCAGGGGCTCACTGGGAAAGGCAGGAACCTCGACAAAGGCAAGCGAATGTGGAGCAGTGTTCTCCACCATGGACTGGCCTCTCAAGGGTGCAGATGAAAATGGCACAGTGTCTCAAAAACCATCTGTGGCAACGACAAACTTGGAAAGGGCATCCAGTAGTGCTGTTGAGCGGTACTGTGAATTTTCCAAGAGAGCAAAGAAAAATCAAAACTTGTCTGAGAGAACAAGCTGCCTCGTGTAGGAGTTAAAGCAACACTCAGTGATTCCTCTCAGAGGCTCCAAAAGCCTCCTGCAAATTGGAAACAACTTCAGCCCCTACAAAGAGACACTATTCACAACCTGGAGGGTAGCCAGCCAACCTAAAGTCTCTTTTGCTCACTGAAATCCCAGGCAGCTAAATAATCTGTGGCAAGAGGCAGTCCCATCCAACAACAGCCCAATCAGAGAGCCCTTCCACAATGAGAAGGCCACATACATGAAAGAAAACAAAGGCTATATTACCAGGGAAAAGCCAGACACGGCTGCCACTTCTCATCCTAGAGGAATCATGCAACTCTCTGATAGAAGTAGAAGAACAAGAGTTTCCTTTTTGGTGACTGTAACAAGAATTTATCATTTTAAAATTGTCAAAGCTGCCCAGTCATTAAAACGTGACAGTGTTTAGAAGGAAACATGCACAACATGGATTCCCATGAGGGTCATTCTCTGTGAACTGGAAAACATTCAGTGTGGAAGTCATTGAGCCAGACTCAGGAAACCCTAGGCTGATAAGGAACATGGAAGTCAGGGGAAGAAGAGGCAAATCAGGAGGCCACATCCCACCCAGCATCAATCCAAACCTCTCCCATTTAACTCCTGGTATGAAAGCCCTCAAATTTGGAGTTTGCCAGGATTGCCCCAATTTGCACTCCAAATGTCCTTGAATGTTGGAGTACTTCCACCTGAACCCTGGGCAATTATGTGGGCTGCTTGTGCAAATAAGAAATGCAGGGAAAAAGTTGGAAGCACTTTCAGAGTGTCACCTCTCCTCATTTTTTTTTTGCAGGTGAGGTTGCAGACTTCGCCCAGACCGCTCCAGATTGTATCTTGATGCTTATATAACCTTATTGCTGCTCACATTCTATGTCCTAAGATTATGGAAGAGTGCCCCCTCATGACGTGAAGAACCTGCTTTGTTGGGAACCAAATTTGAGATAAATTCAAGGAACCATGCAGATAGGACTACTAGTGTCTCTCCCTGGGTTGGTGGCAGGACAATGAAACACTGGGAGATGTCTGTTTGTTGGTGTGGTGTGCTCTCTTTCTGGCGCAAGAGCGTTTTTTTTTTTTTTTTTTTTTTTTGAGGAGGTGGTGATTTGGATGCCGGCATGTCTCAGCCCGCCTCTGAATTCACTGTGGATTTAAAATCCACAGAAAAATAAAGAACTCAGAACCCCGCAGCCCAAGGGAAGCCATACAGACAGGCCACCAAAAGGTTGGGAGGCTCAAACAAACAAACAAACAAAAAAGAGCCAGAGCACACAATCAGACCTGGTGCCCTGATGTTAGTGCATGTACATTCCTTTAAGCAGATTCCACTAACCACACACAACACCCACACCCTCCCCAATATACAAACACAATGCCACACACACACACACACAGAGACATCAAACACTCATAAGACACCTATGGGAACACACAACCTGTCAGGTCCTGAGGCTGTGTTGCTTTGCAAGATGCCCCATCTGGGCAAGAGCAACCCCAGGGAGCAGAGGTGGGCTGTACCTAGAAATTACAGTGGAGTAAGTTTCAAAAAGACACACCCCTACAACTTTTAGGCAGGCCTGAAGAATCCCCAGATACTTTTGGATCTTTAGGGATTCCCTGTTTATGCCTGAGGTTGTGTTTGATGTTTCTTCAGGCTGGCTTAGGTCTGCCTTCTCCTAGGATTATGGGACTATCCCATGGATCCTGTAGAGAATACTGAAACAGTCCACTGCTAATGAACCTCCACATAAGTCTCCTAAACCAAGCCACAGGGACTAGTCACTAGGCAATGGTGACATTCACTGGGACTCTAGCCAGAGCACACAATCAGACCTTGTGCCCTGATATTAGCGAATGTGTATTCTTGAGCCAGACTTGGGTACACGGCCTCAGAGCTGTCATCCTGCCTAAGTAGGGGAAAATAGTACAGGCAGAGCCGGCCTGGTATCAGGAAAAAAAAAATGTCTGTGAAAACCCACTGAGGGACCCTAAAATTATCCACCTCAGGGCCCATTTGGGCTGCTTGCATTGTTTTTTCCTGCTGGAGGAGGCATTTTGATATTGTGAGATGGTCACTAGAAACTGCTTTCCTGACTCCATTCCTGAAAGAGGCTGTGTGCAAGAATCTGGTCCCATAGGAATTGGAATATAGACTGGTGTGTTGTTGAGGGTCCTTTGGGTGATAGAATCATACCTAAGACACCAAACCCAGGAGTCAGTGAAACATGGCTGGGGTCTTGACCTCCCTGCTTCCCTTCATCCTGAGCCTCACAGGGGCTACTGGGAAAGGCTGAAACCACAATAAAAGCCAGCCAAAGGTGCAACGGTGTTCTCACATTTTGGACTGGCCTCTCACAGGTGTAGATGAAGTAGAGACAGATTCTCAAATGTTGTCTGGGGTGATGGCAAGCCTGAAAAGCATGTCCAGTAGTGCTGTTGAGGACACTGTGGATTCCCCATCAAAGCAATGAAAAATGAAGGCTTGCCTGAGAGAAAGAGTTACCTTGTGCTGAAGTCCAAACAATATTCAATGATTCCTGTCAGAGAGACCCAAAGTCCTTCATCAACTTGCAAACAACCTCAGCCCCTACAGCGAGACAATGACCCACAACCTGGAGTGCATCCAGCCTACCAGAAGTGCCTTTTGCTCTCTGAAATCCCTGGCAGCTAAGTAATCTGTGACAAAGGCCCCATCCAGCAGCAGTTCAATGAAAGAACCACTGCACAATAAGAATGTGTGCAGATGAAATGAAACAGAGGCTAGATTACCAGGGAAAAGCCAGACTTGGCTGCCTCCTTCTTATCCTACAGAAATCATGCAGTCACTTCTGATAGAAGTGGGAAAACAAGAGTTTCCTTGTTAGCAGCTATAATTGGAATTTACAGTTTTAATAGTATAAAACCTCCTACTCACTAAAACGTGACAGTGTTTAGAAGGAAACACTCATACAATATATTCTCATGAGAGTCTTTCTCTGTGAACTGGAAATGTTTAGTATGGAAGTTGTTGAGCCAGACCCAGGAAACCTTAGGCCAATGAGGAATATGAAGGTCAGGAAAAGAAGAGGCAAGTGTGGAGGCCCCATCCCCCACAGCATCAATCCATCCCACCCCCATTTAGATCCGGGTTCATGAAGGCCCTCCAATTCAGAGTTTGCCAGGATGGCCCCAATTTGCACTCCAAATGTTTTTTGTACCTTGGGAAACTTTCATCTGAACACCAGCCCATGGTGTGGACTGCCCGTGCAATTGAGGGAATGCGGGGATGGAGTTGAAGCATCTTCTATGTCATGTCTTCATTTTTTTTTACAGGTGAAGTTGCGGTACCCCATCCACCTCTCACCAGATTGTATACTCATCCTTATGTGATCTTATTGTTGCTCATACTCCATGTCCCAGGATGAAATGACAAGATGATGGAGGAGGGCCCCCTCATGATGTGAAGCACCAGCTCAGTTGGGAACCAAATTCGAGGTAAATTCAGAAGGCCCTGCAGACAGGACTGCTAGTGTCTGTCCCTGGGTTGGCCACAGGACAAAGAAACACTAGAAAATATTAATTTTTTTGTGGTGTGTTTCTCTTCTTTCTAGAAGGGTGTATTTTTATTTTATTTTATTTTATTTATTTATTTATTTATTTTGCAGCAGAGGTGATTTGGATGCCAATGGGTTTCAGCACATTTCCCAGTTCCCTGCGGATACATCAGTCAAATAAATAATAATAATAATAATAATAATAATAATGATGATGATGATAATGAGAATAAAGAATACTAAGCTCTGCAGCCCAAGCAGAGCCAGACAGACAGGACACAAAAAAATTGGGAGGCTCAAAAAAAAAAAAGTGCTGAAGTGCCTCAGCCACATACTTTTAAGCAGATTATACATACAGGAACACACACATACACATACACAATGCAACACACACACACGCAGACATCCAACATTCGCAACACTCCCACAGAACCACACACCCCTGTAGCTTCTGAGGCTTCATGGTTTGGCAGGAAGCCCCACCTGGGAAAGAGCAACCCTGGGGAACAGAGGTGGGCTGTACCTAGAAATTATATTGGGGTAAGTTTCAAAAAGCCTCACCCCTATAATGTCTAGGAGGGTCTGAGGAATTCTGCAGATTTTTTTTTGATCCTTAGGGATTATCTGGTTTTAATTTGGGGATGTCCTTAATGTTTCTTCAGGCTGACTCACATCTGCTGTCTCCTAGGATCATGGATCCTAGGAGATTCCGTGGATCCCAAAGATAAGACAGGCAAGATTCTACCACCAATGCACCTCCACAGTGGTCTCCTTCTTTGTCAAGCCTCAGGGAGTTGTAGCTAGGCAATGGTGACATTCATTGTGAGGCTAACCAGAGCTCACAATCAGGTCTGGTGCCCTGAGACTAAAGCATGTACATTTGTGAGACGGGCTCAGACACCTGACTGTCAGATCTGTCAGCCTGCCTAAGCAGACACAAACAGATATAGAACAGGCAGAGCAGCTTAATATCCGGAAAAAGACTGCCTACAAAAACCCACTCCAGGACCTTAAAAGTCTCAACCTCAAAAGGCCCAACCTCTTTGGGCCATCTGCATGGTCGGGTCACTCAAGATGAGGAAGCATTCTGAAATTGTGCGGTGGTCTTGTGCCTTGTGCTGGAGTGCCAGCAATGTTCAATGATTCCTGTCAGAGGACCCAAAAGCCTCATGCAAAGTGCTAACAGTCTCAGGCCCCACAACGACACAACAACCCACAACCTGGATCACATCCAGCCTGCCCAAAGTCCCTTTTACTCTCTGAAATCACTTGCAGCTAAATAATGTGCAGTGAGAGACAGTCCCATCCAGCAACATCTCAATAAGGAGCCCCTCCAAAATGAGAAGGCCATGTAGATGTAATGAAATGTAAGCTAGATTGCCAAGCAAAAGCCAGACATGGTTGCCTGATTCTCATCCTACAAGAATCATACAGGTGTCCTATTAAAGTGAAAGAACAGTTTCCTTGTTGTTGGAAGTAATGAGAATTTTCTGTTTTAAAAGTATCAAACTCCCCAGTCATTAAAACATGACAATTTAGAAGGAAGCACTCACTCAGTGAATTCCCATGAGGGTCATTCCAGGTGAGCTGGGAAAGGTTTAGTGTGGAGGTCTTCGAGGCCAGCCTCGAAGGCTGAGGAGGAACATCCAAGTCAGAAGGAGAGGGGAGTCTGGAGGCCACATCTCACCCAGCATCAATCCATTCCATTCCCGTTTGGCTTTGGGTATGAAAGCCCTCAAATTGGGAGTTTGCTAGGATGGCCCCAATTTGCAATCCAAATATTGCTTGCAAGTTGGGGTACTTTCATCTGAACAATGAGACATGGTGTGGACTGCTTGTGCAATTAAGGGAATGTGGGGATGGAGTTGGAAGCATCATCTATGTCATCCATATTTATTTTTTTGCGGGGGAAGTTGCAACCCACACCCAGCTTTCACCAGCTTGTATTCTGACAATTATCTGACTTTGTTGCTGCTCACACTGTATGTCACAGGATGAAATCCAAAGATGATGGAGAAGTACCCTCTCAGGACATAAAGCGCCTGCTTAGCTGGGAACCGAATTTGAGCTAAATTCAAGGGGTCCTGCAGACAAGACTGCTGGTGTCTCTCTCCCTGAGTTGGCTGTAGGACAATAAAACAGTTATAAAGCAGTTGGAGATGTCTGCTTTTTGGTATTGTGTGCTCCTCTTTTTTCTAGAAGAGTGCTTTTTTTTTTTTTTTCTTTTTTTGCAGGGCAAGGTGATTTAGATGCTGGTATGTCTCGGTATGTCTCCCAGTTCACTGAGATGTCATGATCTGTAGAATATTAAAGAACACTAAGGTCTGCAGCCCAAGCAGAGCCACATAGACAGGCCAACAAAAGGTGTGTTAACTATAATCTTATAAGCAGACTCCACTTACAGGAACACAAACACACACACAATGGAATACACACATGTAGATGTCCAACACTCCAACATTCCTTTAAGCTGACTCCACTCACAGTGCACACCCCCCATACACAATAACACACAATGTTACACATACATACAGACATCCAACACTCACAACACTTCCACCAAAACACACACCCTGGCAACTCCTGAGGCTCCATGTTTCTGCAGAAAGCTGCATCTGGAAGAGGGCAACCCTGGGAAAAATAGGGGGACTGTACCTAGAAATCACAATGGGTCAAGTTTCAAAAAGAGTCACCCCTAAAATGTCTAGGCAGACTTCAGGAATCCTGCAAGTTTTTGGATCTTTAGGGATTCCCTGGTTTATACCTGGGGATGTGCTTGATGTCTATTTAGGCTGGGTCACATCTGCCCTCTTCTAGGATCATGGTACTAACTGGTGGATCCCACAGATAAGACAGGTGAGATTCCACGGCTGACGTACCTCCACAGGAGTCTCCTTCTTTGCCAAGCTGCAGGGACTTGTTGCTAGGCAACAGTGACATATATTGCGAGACCAGTCAGAGTTCACAATCAGGCCTGGTGCCTGAAGACTAGTACATGCACATTTGTGAGGCAGGTTTGGGCACACACAATACCCAAAAAAATAAAAATAAAAATAAATAAATAAATAAAAAGAGGTATTGAAGTGCATTAGCCACATTCTTATAAGCAGACTCCACTTACAGGAGCACACACACACACACACACACACACGCACACACAATGCAACATACACACACAGACATACAACACTCCAGCATTCCTTTTAAGCTCTGTCAGAGCTGTCAGCCTGCCTAAGCATAGAAATATAGAACAGGCAGAGCCAGCCTGGTATTGGGAAAAAGGCTGCCTGCAAAAACCCACTGCAGGACCTTTAGACATCAGGGTGCCTTTGGGCCATCTCCTTTGTTGGGACATGTGGGAGGGGGAGCCGTTTCCAGATGGTGAGGTGGTCGCTGGAAACTTCTCTTCTGACTCCATTGTTGAAAGAGGCTGTGTGCAAGAATGCAGCCCCACGAAGATTGGAGGAAAATAATCTGGTGTGTTTTTGAGGGTTCTTTGGGTGATGGAATCATACCTGAGATCCCAGAGGTGAGTGTCAGTGAAAGAGGGCTGGACACTTTATCTCACTGCCTTTCTTCATTGTGGGTTCTCTGGAAAAGGCAGGAAACACAACAAAGAAAAGTCCAAAATAGAGCAGGATTCTCACTCCTTGAACTGGCCTCTTATGGGTGCAGATGAGGTTAGTGTCTCAGAGGCTGTCTGTGGCGATTGCAAACCTGAAAAGTTGTCCAGTAGTGCTGCTGAGGGGAACTCTGGATTCCTCATGAAAGTAAAGAAACATCAAGGCTCACTTGAGAGAATGAGCTGCCTTGTGCTGCAGTCTCAGCAGTGTTCAATGATTCCTGTCAGAGAACCCAAATATCTCATGCAAAGTGCAAATAGTCGCAGGTCCCACAAGGAGACAACCACCCACAACCTGGATCACAGCTAGCCTACCAGATGTCCCTTTTGCTTTCTGAAATCACTTGCAACTTAATGATCAGCTGCAAGAAGCAGTCCCATCCAGCAACATGCCCATAAAGAGCCCCTCCAAAATGAGAAGGTCGTACAGATGAAATGAAACAGAGGCTAGATTACCAGGCAAAAGCCAGACATGGCTGCCTGATTCTCATGCTACAGTAATCATGCAGGCCTCCAATAAAAGTGAAAGAACAAGAATTTCCTTGTTGTTGGCTGTAACAGGAATTTTCAGTTTTAAAAGTGTCAAACTGCCCAGTCGTTAAAACGTGAGAGTTTAGAAGGAAGCACTCATGCAATGGATTCCCATGAGGGTCGCTCCCTGTGAACTGGGAAAGGTTTAGTGTGAAGGTCTTTGAGGCCGACCAGGAATCCCTAAGCCAAGGAGAAATATGGAAGTCAGGAGAAGTGGAGGAGAGTCTGGAGGCCACATCCCACCCAGCATCAATTCATTCCACTCCCATTTGTCTTTGGGTATGGAAGTACTCAAATGGGGAGTTTGCGAGCATGGCCCCAATTTGCAATCCAAATATTCATTGCAAGTTAGAGTACTTTCACCTGAACACCGTGACATGGTGTGGACTGCTTGTGCAATTAATCAAATGTGGGGATGAAGCTGGAAGCACCCTCCGTGTCATCTATCTTTTTCTTTTTTTTGCAGGTAAAGTTACGACCCACGACGACTCCTCACCAGATTGTATACTGACCCCTATCTGACTTTATACCTGCTCACACTCTATGTCTCTCAGAGCTGTCAACCTGACTAAGCAGAGAAAAGTGGTACAGTCAGAGCAGTCCTGGTATTGGGAAAAACACTGCCTGTGAAAACCCACTGTGGAACCCTGAATGTTTCAGCCTCAGAGCTCCTTCAAACCATCTCCATGTTCAGGTCCTGCTGGAGGAGGAGGCATTTCGAGACTCTGAGGGAGTCCCTGGACTGCTCTCCTGACTCCATTATGGGAAGAGGCTGTGTACAAGAATCGGGCCCCATGGGGATTGGAATATAGTCTGGTGTGTTGTTGAGAGTTTTTTTATGTGATAGAATCGTACTTGAGACCCCAGAGGTGGATGCCAGTGAATTTTGGATGGGTTAATGATGTCACTGACTTTATGCTGGGTCCCACACAGGTTCTCTGGGAACCCAGGAATAATGATAAAGGCAAATTCAAGGTGGAGCAGAGTTCCCACCCTCAAACTGGTCTCTTACAGGTGCAGATGAGGCTGAGATGGTGTCTCAGAGGTCGTCTGTGGCAGTGGCAAGCCTAAAAAGTGTGTCCAGTAGTGCTAGTGAGGGGTACCGTGGAACTTCCTACCCATGAAAGCAAAGAAAAATCAAGGTTTGTGTGAGAGAAATAGATGACTTGCGCTTGAGTCCATGGGATGTTCAAAGATTCCTATCATAGGACCCATAAGCCTCCTGCAAAGTGCAAGCAACCTCATCCCCCATAACAAGACCAAGACCCACAAACTGGGGTGTGACCAGTCTACCTGAAGTCCCTCTTGCTTCCTGAAATCTTTGGCAGCCAATAAACCTTTGGTGAGAAGCAGCCCCATCCAGAAACAGCCCAATAAAAAACCCCCTTCACAATGAGAAAGGCCATGTAGATTAAATGAAATAGAGCCTATATTACCAGGGAAAATCCAGACAATGACTGCCTGCTTCTCGTCCTACAGGAATCATGCAGACTTTCAATAAAACCTGGAAAACAAGAGTTTCCTTGTTAGTGGCTGTAACAGGAATTTATGGTTTCAAAATTGTTACAGCTGCCCAGTTATTGAAACGTGATAGTGGTTAGCAGTGTTTAGAAGAAACACTAATGCAATGGATTCCCTTGAGGGTCATCTTCTGTGAACTGGGAAATATTTAGCATGGAAGACATTAAGCCAGACCCAGGAAGCAACATGCTGATGAGGAACATGTAAGTCAGGATATGAAAAGGCAAGTGTGGAGGACACATACTGCCTTGCATCAATTGATCTCACTGCCATTTGGATCTGGTTATGAAAGACCTCCACTTGGGAGTTTACCAGGATGGCCCCAATTTGCACTCCAAATGTTCCCTGCACACTAGAGTACTCCCAACTGTACACTGGCCAAGGTGTGGACTGCTTGCGCAATTAAGAAAATGTGGGAATGCTGTTGGAAGCACATTTTGCATCATCTATCTTCACATTTTTTGCAGGGGAAGGTGCAGGATCCCATCCACTCCTCACCAGATTGTATCCTCATGTCTATCTGCTCACACTCTCTGTCTCAGAATAAAGTCCTGAGATGTTGGAGGAATGAAGTGACCCCTGACAATGTGAAGTACCATCTTAGCTATGAACTGAATTGGAGGTAAATTCAAGGGGTGCCGTGGACAGTACTGCTGGTGTCTCTCCCTCGGATGGCCACAGGACAATGCATCACTGAAAGGTTTCTGTTTTGGGGTGTGGTGTGCTGCTCTTCTTTCTAGAAAGGTGGCTGTTTCTGCAAGGGTCGGTTATGTGGACCCTGTGGGGTCACAGTCAGCCTCACAATTCACAGCAGATTCATGATTCACAGATAAACAAAGAACACAGAGGCACACAGCCCAAGCCGAGCCACACAGAGGCCCTATCCACATTCCCTTAAGCAGACTCTACTTACCGGCGCGCGTGCACACACATACACACACACACAAATACAGAAAACCATAACGCCACACCCACACACAGACATCCAATACTTGCAACACTTCCTCAGAAACACAGAATCCGGCAGCTTCTGAGGCTGTGTGTTTCTGCAGGAAGCCCCACCTGGGAGACAGCAACTCTGGGAAACACAGGTGGATTCCACCTAGAAATCACAGTTGGGCAAGTTTCAATCGGCCGGGCGCGGTGGCTCAAGCCTGTAATCCCAGTACTTTGGGAGGCCGAGGCGGGTGGATCACGAAGTCAGGAGATCGAGACCATCCTGGCTAACATGGTGAAACCCCGTCGCTAATAAAAATACAAAAAACTAGCCGGGCGTGGTGTCGGGCGCCTGTAGTCCCAGCTACTCGGAGACTGAGGCAGGAGAATGGCGTAAACCCGGGAGGCGGAGCTTGCAGTGAGCCGAGATCGGGCCACTGCACTCCAGCCTGGGTGACACAGCGAGACTCTGTCTCAAAAAAAAAAAAAAAAAAAAAAAAAAAAGACTCAATCTTAAAACAGCTAGGCAGGCCTGAGAAATTCTACAGATATTTTTGTAACCTTAGGGACTTGGTGGTTTATTCCTGGGCCTCTGCTTGATGTTTCCTCAGGCTGGCTCACGTCTGCCCTCTCCTAGGATTAAGGGACTATCTCCTGGATACCAGAGAGAAGACAGGTGAGAGTCTACTGCTGACATACCTCCACAGAGTTCTCCTTCTCTGCTATGCCACAGGGACTTGTCGCTAGGCCATGCTGGCATTCATCTTGATGCTAGTCAGAGCTCACAGCTCAGACCTAGTGCCCTAATGCTAATGTATGCACATTCACAGGCGGGCTCGGTTGCCTGGCTGTCAGAGCTGTCAGCCTGCTGAAGCAGAAGAAAATGGTACAGGGAGAGCTGCCTGGTGTTGGGAAATAGGCTGTCTGAGATAATGCACTGCAGGACCCTCAAAGTCTCGATGTTAGGGCCACTTGAGTCCTTCTTCATTGTCGGTTCCCACAGGAGAAGGAGGTTTTTAGAGACTGTGAGCTGGTCGCTGGAAATTTCTCTTCTGTCTCCCTTCCTAAAAGAGGCAGTGTGCAAGAATTGTGTCCCATGGGGATTGGAACGTAGTCTGGTGAGTTGTGGAGCGGTCTTTGGATGATAGAATCATACCTGAGACCCTAGATTTGGGTTCCTGCAAATGATGGTCATGTCCTTAGCCTCACTGCCTCCCTTCATCCAGGGCCTTGCAGGGTCTCTCTGTGAAATGCAGGAACCACGACAAAGGCAAGTCCAAAATGGAGCAGTGTTCTAAAATTTTGAACTGGCCTCTCATGGGTGCAGAGGAGGTTGAGATAGTGTCTCAGAGGTCATCTGTGGCAATTGAAAGGCTCAAAAGGATGTCCAGTAGTGCTGTTGAAGGAGCATTGTGGACTTCCCAAGAAAGAAAAAAAATCAAAGGTCATATGTGAGAAAGAGATGACCTGTGCTGGAGTCCAAGCAACATTCAAAGATTACTGTCAGAGAACTCAAAACCCTTCTGCAAAGTGCAGACAACCTCAGCATCTACAACGAGCATCCTGACCCACAACCTGAAGTGCTACCCAACCTACCCAGAGTCCCTTTTTCTCCCTGAAATCCCTGAAACCAATAGATCTGTGGCCAGAGGGGGGCCCATCCAGCAACAGCCTAATAACAGATCCGCTGCACAATGAGAAAGGATGTGCAGATGCAACGAAACACAGCATAGATTACCAGGCAATATCTAGACATGGCTGTCTATTTCTCATCCTACAGGAATCATGCAGCACTCTGATAAAAGTTGGAGAACAAGAGTTTCCTTGTTGGTGGCTGTAACAGAAATCTACAGTTTTAAAATTATCACAGCTGCCCAGTCATTAAAATGTGACAGTGTTTAAAAGAAAACACTCATGCAATGGATTCCGTTGAGGGTCATCTTCTGTGAACCGGAAGCATGGAAGACATTGACCCAGATCCAGGAAACCCTAGGTCGATGAGGAACATGGAAGACAAGAAAAGAAGGGGCAAGTGTGAAGGCCCCACATCCCACCTTGCATCTATCGATCTCATCCCCAGCTTGAGCCAAATATGAAAGCCCTCAAATCAAGAGTTTGCCAGGATGTCCCCAGTTTGCACATCAAATGTTCCCTGGATATTGCTGTACCCCCACCTGAACACTGAGCCATGGTGAGGACTGCTTGTGCTATTAAGGAAATGTGGGGATGATGTTGGAAGCACTTACTGTGTCATCTGTCTTCACATTTTTTGCAGGTGAAGGTGTGGTACCCCACTCACTGTCTCCCCCGCCAATTTCACCCTCACCCCTATCTGACCTTATTGCTGCTCATACTCTCTGTCTCTGAATGAAATCCCAAGACAATCTAGGAATGCATTCTCATGACTAGAAGCACCTGCTCAGCTAGGAACTGAATTCAAACTAAATTCAAGGGGCCCTGTGGACAGGACTTCCGGTGTTTCTCCCTGGGATGGCCAAGGACAATGAAATACGGGTGGATGTCTTTTCTTGGGGTGGTGTGCTCCTTTTCTTTCTAGAACAGTGACTTTTTCTTTTGCAGGCAGAGATGATATCAGAGTCAACTTCGATGTATCAGAGTCAACCTCCCAATTCTCCATGGATTCATGATCCAGAGGAAAATAGAAAACACAGAGACCTGCAGCCCAAGCAGAGCCACACAGACAGACCATCTAAAGGTTGGGAGACTCAAACAAAAAAAAAAGAAAGAAAGAAAGAAAGAAAAGAAAAGAAAAAGAAAAAGAAAAAGAAAAGAACAAAAGAGTCCTACAGTGCATTAGCCACATTTTTTAAAGCATACTCAATTTCCCAGCCTGCACACACACAAATACACACACACACAAACCACACAATGCCAAAAAGCCACACCCATATGCAGACATGCAAGATTCACAACACTTTCACAGATCCCCACAGCCCTTCAGGAAGCCTTACCTGGGAGAGAGTAATTCTGGGAAACACAGGCGGGCTGTACCTAGAAATCACAGTGGGGTAAGTTTCAGAAAGACTCAACTCTACAATGTCTAGACAGGTCTGAGGCATCCTACGATCTTTTTGTAAACTTAGGAATTTTGCGGTTCATTCCTAGGGATCAGCTTGATGTGTCTTTCGGCTGGCTCATGTCTTCTCTCTCCTAGGATAATGAGACTATCCCACGGATCCCACAGAAAAGAGACGAGAGTCCACCACCAATGCACCTTCATGGAGGTCTCCTTCTCAGCCAAGCCTCAGGGATTTGTTGAAAGGAAATGACGCCATTCACTGTGATGCTAGCCAGAGCTCACAGCTCAGCCTAATACCCTGAGACTAGAGCATGAGCATTAGTATGTGGGCTCAGTTCCTGGCAGTCAGAGCTATCAGTTTGCATAAGTAGATAAAAATGGTACAGGCAGGGCCGGCCTGGTATTGGGAAAAATTGCTGCATGCAATAACCTACTGCAGAACCCTGAAAGTCTTGAACTTAAGGCCTCTTTGGGTCATTCTTGTGGTTGGGTCTCACTGGAGGAGAAGGTGTTTCAAGGCTATGGAAAGGTCATTGGGAACTGCTCTTCTGACTCCATTCCCAAAAGAGGCTATGTACAAGAATCGGTTCCCATGGGAACTGGAATGTTGTCTGGTGAGTTGTGGAGGGTTCTATGGGTGTCAGAATCATACCTGTGACCACAGAAGTGGGTGTCAGGGAAAGATGGCTGGTTCCTTAACCTCACTGTGTCTCTTCATCCCTGGGTCTCATAGGAGTTCTATGGGAAAGGCAGGAAATAGGATAAAGTCATGTCCAAGGTAGAGTTGTGTTCTCACACCTTGAACTGGCCTCTCATGGGTGCAGATGAAGATGAGACAGTGTCTCAGAGTTCTTCTGTTTATTATTGCAATCCTGAAAAGGGTGTCAGGTAGTGCTGTTGAAGGACACAATGGACCACATGAAAGTAAAGAAAAATCAAGGCTTAAGTGAGAGAACCAGCTGCCTGGTTCTGGAGTCCAAGCAACATTAGAAGATTCCTGTCAGGGGATGCAAAAGCCCCCTACAATGTGCAAATATCCTCAGCCCCCACAACAAAACCATGACTCAAAACCTATAGTGCAGCAAGCCTACCCAAAGTCCATTTTGCTCCCTGAAATACCTGGCAGTGAATAGACATGAGGCAAGAGTTAGCCCCATCCAGCAACAGCCCAATAAAAGAGCCCTTCTCAATGCAAAAAGACAAGAAGATAAAGTGAAACAAAGCCTAGATTCCCAAAGCCAGATGTGGCTGCCTGCTTCTCATCCTACAGGCATCAGGAAGTCCTCTGATAAAACCTGGATAACAAGAATTTCCTTGTTGGTGACTATAAAAGAAACTTATGGTTTTAAAAGTATAAAAACTGTCCAGTTATTAAAAGTTGCCAGAGTTGAGAAGGAAACACTCACACAATGGATTCCCATGAGGGTAATCTTCAGTGACTTGGGAAACGTTTAGCATGGAAGACACTGAGCCAGGACCAGGAAATCCTAGGCCTATGAGGAACATGGAAGCCAAGAAAGGAAGAGGCAAGTGTGGAGGCCACATCCCACCCATCATATATCCATTCCACTCCCATTTGGCTCTGGGTATGAAAGCCCTCAAATCAGGAGTTTGCCAGGATGGCCCCAATTTGTAATCCAAATGTTCCTTACAAATTGGAGTACTCCCACATGAAAAATGGACCATGGTTTGGACTGCTTGTGCAATTAAGGGAATGTAGAGATGGAGTTGGAAACACCTGCTGTGTCATTGGTCTTCATGTTTTCTGCAGGTGAAGTTGAGGCACCATATCCACACCTCACCAGATTGTATCATCACCTCTATCTGAGCTTATTGCTGCTCACACAGTATGTCCCAGGATGAAATTCCAATACCATGGAGGAGTGCTCCCTCACAATGTGAAACACCTGCTCAGCTGGGAATCGAATTCAAGGTAAATTCAAGGGGCCATGCACAGAGGGTCACTGATGTTTCTCCTTGGGCTGTTTCCAGGACAATGAAACACTAGGAGATGTCTGATTTTTGGTAGGGTGTGTTCCTCTTCTTTCTAGAAGAGTGACTTTTTCTGGCAGGGACAGATGATTTGAATGCCTATGGATCTCAGCCCACCACCCAATTCACTGAGAATTCATGATCCACAGAAAAATAAAAATCACGGAGCCCAGCAGCCCAAGCAAAGCCACACAGACAGGCCATCAAAAGGTTGGGACACTGAAAAAGAAAGAAGCACTGAAATGCATTAGCCACATTCCTTTAAACAGACTTCACTTGCAGGTACACACACATACACACACACACAAAGACACAATGTCACACACTCAGACATCCAACACTTGCAACAACCACATAGAAACACATCCCAGGCATCCTGGGGCTTCATGGTTCTCCAGGAAGACACACCTGGGAGAGAACAACCCCAGGGAACACAGGCACACTGTGCCTAAAAATCACAGTGGGGCAAATTTCAAAAATACTCACCCCTACAACATCTAAGCAGGACTCAGGAATCCTGCAGATACATTTAGATCCTTACGGATTTCGTGGTTTATTCCTGGGGTGGTGTTTGATGTTTCTTTAGGCTGGTTTATGTCTGCTCTTTCCTAGGATCATGGGAGTATCCCATGGATCCCACAGAGAAGACAGGCAGGAGTCCATCACCAATGCACCTCCATTGAGGTCTACTTCTCTTCCAACCCACAAGGACATGTTGCTAGGCAATGGTGATGTTCATTGTGATGCTAGCCAGAGCTCACAATCAGTCCTGGTGTTCTGAGACTAGCTTATGCACATTCATGAGACAGGCTTTGACACACAGCTATCAGAGCTGTCAGCCTGCCTAAGCGGAAGAAAATGGTACAGGCACAGCCAGCTTGGTATTTTTTTAAAAAAGGATGCCTGCAGTAACCTACTGTGGGACCACAAAATTCTTTACCTCCAGGCCGCTTAGAGCAGTCACCATGGTTGGGTCCTGTTGGAGGAAGAGAGGTTTCAAGACTGTCAGGTTGTTGCCAAAAACTGCTCTTGTGACTCCATTCTCAAAAGAGGCTGTGTACCTCTTCCATGGGGATTAGAATATAGTCTAATGTGTTGTTGAGGATTCTTCAGGTGACAGAATCATAACTGAGACTCCAGCGGTAGAGACAGTGAAAGATGGCCTGATCCTTGACCTCACTATCTCCCTTTATTCTGGGCATCACAAGGACTCTCTAGGAAAGGCAGGAACCATGACAAAGGCAAGTGCAAGGTGGAGCAGCGTTTTCACCTTGACTGTACTCTCACAAGTGTAGGTGAAGTTGATACAGTGTCTTAAAGGATATGTGCAGTGATGGCAAGTCAGAAAAAGGGGTCCAGTGGTACTGTTGAGGGGCACTGTGGATTCCCTATGAAAGTAAAGAAAAATTGAGGCTCACCTGGAAGAACGACTGCCTTGTGCTGGAGTCCAAGCAATGTCCAATGATTTCTGTCAGAGGACCCAAAAGCCTTTTGCAAAGTGAAAAAAACCTCAGCCCCAAAAATGAGACAATGATCCAAAATCTGGAGTCCAGCCTGCCTACCTGAAGTCCCTTTGCTCTGTGAAATCCTTGGAAGCAAAATAATCTGTGGCGACAGGCAGTTCCACCCAGCAACAGCCCAGTGAATTTGCCCCTCCACAACGAGAGGACCATGCAGATGAAATGATACAGTGGCTAGATGACCAGGCATAAGCCAGACACTTATTCCTGTTTCTCATCCTGCAAGTATCATGCAGCCATCAGATAGAAGTGGGAGGATAAGTGTTTCCTTGCTGGAGACTGTAATGAAAATTTACAATTTTTAAAGTATCAAAGCTGCCCAATCATCAAAACATGACAGTGTTTCGAAGCAGACACTCTCACAGTGGATTCCCATGAGCATCGTTCTCCCTGAACTGGGAAACATTTATTGTGAAAATCTCTGAGCCAGACCCAGGAAACCCTAGGCCAATGAGGAATATGGAATTCAGGAAAAGAAGAGGCAAGTCTGGAGGCAGCATCCCATCCAGCATCAACCCATTCCACTCCCATTTGGCTTCCGATATGAAAGCCACCAAATTGGGAGTTTGCCAGGATGGCCCCAATTTGCACTACAAATGTTCTTTACAAGTTGAAGTACTCCCACCTGAACACTGGGACATAGTGTGAACTGCTTGTGCAATTAAGGAAATGAGGGGATGGAGGAGGAAGCACATTCTGTGTCATCATTTTGTTTTTGTATGTGAAGTTGAAGGACACCATCCACTCCTCCCCAGATTTTATCCTCATTCTTATCTGACCTTATTGGTGCTCACACTCTGTGTCCCAGGATGAAAGTACCAAGATGGTAGATGATTGACCCTTATGACGTGAAGCACCCGCTTGGCGGGGAATTGAAATCGAGGTAAATTAAAGGGGCCCTGAGGACAGGACTGCTAGTGTCTTCTCCAGGGTTTTCCGCAGGACAGTGAAACGCTGGGAATTATTTATTTATTTATTTTGGTGTGGTGTGCTCCTCTTCTTTCTATAAGACTGTCTTTTTTTTTTTTTTTTGCAGATGGAGGTGATTTTGACACCGGCGGGTCTCAGCCCTCCTCCCGATTCACTGCAGATTCATGATTCACATAAAAAGAAATAACATGGAGCTTCACAGTTCAAGCAGAACCACACAGACAAGCAATCAAAAGTTTGGGAGACTCAAAAAAAAAAGAAAGAAAAGAGAAGAAAAAAAAGCATTGCAGTGAGTTAGGCACATTCCTTTAAGCAGAATACACTTTCAGAATACACGTTCAGGCACACACACACAAACAAACACACAATGCCACACACACTCGCGAACATCTAACACTCGCGGACATCTAACACTCGCAACACTCCCACAGAAACACAAAGCCTGGCACCACCTGAGGCTGTGTGGTTAAACAGGAAGCCCCATCTCAGGGATAGCAACCCCAGGGATCTCAGGCGGGCTGTGCCTGGATATCACAGTGGAGCACGTTTCAAAAAGACTCACCCCTACAATATCTAGGCAGGCCCGAAGAATCCTGCCCGTGATTTGAAATCCTAAGGGATTTAGCTTGAGGTTTCTTCAGGCTAGTTCACAGCTGCCCTCTCCTAGGATCATGCAACTATGCTGTGGATACCACACAGAAGTCAGGTGAGAGCCCATGGCCGACGCACCTCCACAAAGGTCTCCTTCTCCGCCAAGCCGCAGGAATTTGCCTTTAGGCACAGTGACATTCATTGTGAAGCTAGCCAGAGTTCACAGTCAGGCCTGGTGCCCTGAGACTAGCGCATGCGCATTCATGAGCAGGCTCCGGCGCTGTGCTGTCAGAGCAGACAGCCTGCCTAAGCAGAGAAAAAAATGATACAGGCAGAGCCGGCCTCGTATTGAGAAAAAGGCTGTTGTGAAAACCCACTACGGGTATATCCCCAGTAATGGGATGGCTGGGTCATATGGTACATCTAGTTCTAGATCCTTGAGGAATCACCATACTGTTTTCCATAATGGTTGAATCAACCCAAATGTCCATCAGTGACAGACTGGATTAAGAAAATGTGGCACATATACACCATGGAGTACTATGCAGCCATAAAAAAAGATGAGTTTGTGTCCTTGGTAGGGACATGGATGCAGCTGGAAACCATCATTCTTAGCAAACTATCACAGGAACAGAAAACCACTCATAGGTGGGAACTGAACAATGAGATCACTTGGACTCGGGAAGGGGAACATCATACACCGGGGCCTATCATGGGGAGGGGGGAGGGGGGAGGGATTGCATTGGGAGTTATACCTGATGTAAATGACGAGTTGATGGGGGCAGCACACCAACATGGCACAAGTATACATATGTAACAAACCTGCACATTATGCACATGTACCCTACAACTTAAAGTATAATAATAATAAATAAATAAATAAATAAAACCCACTACGAAACTGTACAGGTCTCCACCTCAGGGCCCCTTCAGGCAGTCTCTGTGGTTGGGTCTCGCTGGAGGAGGAGGCATTTCCAGATCGTACGGCGGTCACTGAAATCGGCTCTTCTGACCCCATTCCTGAAAGAGACTATGTGCAAGAATAGTGTCCCATGGGGATTGGAATATTGTTTGGCATGTTGTTGAGGGTTCTTTTGGTGATAAAATCATACCTAAGACCCCAGAGGTGGGTGCCAGCAAAAGATTGTTGGGCTCTTGACCTCACTGCCTCCCTTCATCCGTGGCTTCACAGGGGCTCTCTGGGAAAGGAAAGAATCACGACAAGGAAACGTCCAAGGTGGATAAGTGTTCTCACACCTCAGACTGGCCTCTCAAGTGTGTAGATGAGGATGAGACAGTGCGTCAGAGGCTGACTGTGGTGATGGCAAGCCTCAAAATGTGTCCAGTAGTACTGTTGAGGGGCAGTGTGGATTCCGCATGAAAACAAAGAAAAATCAAGGCTCACCTGAGACAACAAGCTGCCTTTGGCTGCAGTTTAAGCAATGTTCAATGATACCTGTCAGAGGACCCAAAAGCTTCTTACAAAGTGCAAATAACCTTAGCTCCCACAATAAGACAACCACCCAAAATCTGGAGCGCAGACACACTACCCAAAGTTTCTTTTGCTCATTGAAATGCCTTGCAGCTAAATAATCTGTGGAAGGGGCAGTCCCATCTAGCAACAACTGAATGAATGAGGCCCTCCACTGTGGAAGGGGCAGTCCCATCTAGCAACAACTGAATGAATGAGGCCCTCCACAATTAGAAGGCCATTAAAATGAATTGAAGTGGTTCCTAGATTACCAGGCAAAAGCCAGACATGGTTGCCTGCTTCTCATTCTACAGGATGTGTGTAGCCCTCCAATGGAAGTCGAAGAAGAAGGATTTTTGTTTTGTTTTGTTTTGTTTTGTTGTTTTTTTTTTTTTTTTTTTGTAGGTGGCTGAAATGGGAATATACAATTTTAAAAGAACCAAGACTGTAATGTCATTAACACATGAGAGTGTTTGGAAAAAGGCACTTGGCAACGGATTCACTTGAGGATCATTCTCCATGAACTGAAATAGGATTAGTGTAGAAGTCATTGAGCCAGAACCAGGAAGCCCTGTGCTGACAAGAAACATAAAATTCAGGAAAAAAAGAGGCAAGTGTGGAGGCCACATCCCACCCAGCATTAGTCCATTCCACTCCCATTTGGCACTACATATGAAAGCCCTCGAATCAAGAGTTTGCCAGGATGGCCTCTATTTGCACTCCAAATGTTCCTTACACGTTGGAGTACTCCCACCTGAACACTAGGTCATGGTGTGGACAGCTTGTGCAATTAAGGGAATGCAGAGATGTAGTTGGAAGCACCTTCTGTGTCATGTTTCTTCACTTTTTTTTTTTTTGCAGGTGAAGTTGTGGGACCACATCCACACCTCACCGGATGTATTCTCACACCTATCTGACCTCACTGCTGCTCACACAGTATGTCCCAATATGAAACTCCAATACCATGGAGGAGTGCTCCCTCATGACAAGAAGCACCTGCTTGGCTTGGAACTGTATTTGATGTAAATTAAAGGAACCCTGCAGAGAGGACTTACAGTGTCTTTCCCTGAGTTGGCCACAGGACAATAAAACAGTATGAGATGTGTTTTTTTTTGTTTGTTTGTTTTTGTTTTTGTTTTGTTTTGTTTTGTTTTGTGGTGTGCTGTGCTCCTCTTCTTTCATTAAGGGGGCTTTTGTTTTTTTTTTCTCAGTGGGAGGTGATTTGGAGGCCAGTGGGTCTCAACCTACTTTCCAATTCACTGCAGATCATGATCTACAGAAAAATAAAGAACAAGGAGCTCTGCAGCCCACATCACTTACAGGCACACACACAATAGCTCATGCACACACCCAAGCAAACACAATGCCACACACACACGCAGACTTCCAACACTCACAACACTCCACAAAAACACACAGCCCAGCAACAACTGAGGCTTCATGTTTCTGCAGAAAGCCCCACCTAGGAGAAGGAAACCCTGCGGAAAACAGGCAGGCTGTACCTAGAAATCACAGTGGGACACATTTCGAAAACACTCACCCCTGCAACATCCAGGCAGGCTTGAGGAATCCTGCAGATTTTTTTTGATTCCTTAGCTATTTCATGGTACATTCCTGGGGCTGTTCTTGAGGTTTCTCCAGGTTGGCTCATGTCTGCCTTCTCCTAGGGTCATGGGACTATCTTGTGAATTCCATACAGAAGATAGGCTAGAGTCCATAACCGATGCACCTCCATGGAAGTCTCCTCCACCAAGCCACAGGGACTTGTTACTAGGCAACAGTGACATTCATTTTGAAGCTAGCCAGAGCTCACAATCAGGTCTGGTGCCTGAAACTAGTGCTTGCACATTCATGAGGCAGGTTCTTGTAACTGGCAGTCAGAACAGTCAGCCTGCCTAAGTAGAAGAAAATGGTATAGGCAGAGTCCGCCTGGCATCTGGAAAAAGGCTGCTGCAAAAACCCTCTGAAGGACCCTCACAAGATTGAACTCACAACCCTTCAGGTGGTCTACTTGTCAAGTCCCACTGGAAGAGGAGGCGTTCCAAAACTGTAAGGTGGTTGCTGGAAACTGTTATTCTTACTTCATTCCTGAAAGAAACTGTGTGCAAGAATCAGGTCCCATGGGGATTGGGAAATTGTCTGGTGTGTTGTTGAGTGTCCTTTGGGTGATAGTATCAACCTGAGACCACAGACGTGGGTGTCAGTGAAACATGGATGGGCTCTTGACCTCACTGCCTTTCTTTTTCCTGGGCCTTTGCAAGGGCTCTCTGGGAAATACAGAAAACATGACAAAGGCAAGTCTAAGGTAGAGCAGTATTCTCACACCTCGACACAGCCTCTCACAGGTGCAAATGAGGTTGAGACAGTGTCTCGGGGTCGTTTGTGGTGATGGCAAGCCTGAAAATTCATGCAATAGTGCTGTTGAGGGGTACTGTGGATTGCCCATGAAAGCAAAGAAAAATCAAGGCTTGCCTGAGATAACAGGCTGCCTTGTACTGGAGTCCAAGCAATATTCAATGATCCCTGTCAGAATACCCAAAAGCTTCCTGCAAAGTGCAAATAACCTTGGCCCCCACAATGAGACAACGACCCAAAATCTGGAGTGCAAGTAGTCTAACTTAAGTCTTTTTTTTTCACTGAAAGCCCTGGCAGCTAAATAATCTGTGGCAAGAGGCAGTCACATCCAGCAACAGCCCAATGAAAGGTTCCCTCCACAATGAGAATGCATTGCAGCTGAAATGAAGCTGAGGCTAGATTAGCAGGCAAAAGCCAGACAGGGCTGCCTGCTTCTTATCCTATAGGATTCATGCAGCCTTCCAATAGAAGTGGGAGAGCAAGTGTTTTTTTGTAGGTGGCTATAACGGGAATATACAGTTTTAAAACTATCAAAGCTGTTTTGTCATTAAAACGTAACAATGTTTAGAAAAAAGCACTCATGCAATGGATTCCCACGAGGATCATTCTTCATGAACTAGGATACGATTAATGTGGAAGTTGTTGTGCCAGAACCAGAAAGCCCTACGCTGATAAGGAACATAAACGTCAGGAAAAAAAGAGGCAAGTGTGGAGATCACATCCCACAAAGCATTAATCCATTCCCGTCCCACCTGGCTCTGCGTATGAAAACACTCAAATTGTGAGTTTGCCAGTATGGCCTCTATTTGCACTCCAAATGTTCCTTGCATGTTGGAGTAATCCCACCTGAACATCCAGTCATTGTGTGGACTGCTTGGGCAATTAAGGGAATGCAGTTGGAAGTACATTCTGTGTCATCTTTCTTGATTTTCTTTGCAGGTGAAATTGTGGGAAGACATCCATCCCTCACCAGGTTGTGTCCTTACCCCAGTCTGACCTTATTGCTGTTCACGGTCTGTCTCGGGATGAAATCTCAACAATGGAGGAGTGTCCCCTCACTTTGAGAACTATATTCTCATCTGGAAACCAAATTCGGGGTAAATTCAAGCGGTCCTACAAATAGGACTGCTATTGTCTCTCCCTGGGTTGACCACAGAACAACAAAACATAATGAGATGTCTGGTTTTTTTGGTGTTGTGTGCTTTTTTCTTCCCTGAAGATTGACTTTTTTTCCCCACCAGGGGGAGATTATTTAGACACTGACAGGTCTCAGCCCATCTCTGAATTCACTGTGGATTCATGATCCACAGAAAAATAAACAACAAGGAGTCCCACAGTGCAAGTGGAGCCACATCGGCCACCAAAAGTTTGGGAGACTCAGGAAAAAAAAGAAGTACTGAATTGCATAAGCCACATTCCTTTAAGCAGGCTCCACTTACAGACACACCTATACACAAACATACACAAATTCACAATGCCCCGTAGACACAGACATCCATCTGTCACTACACTCCCACAGAAACACACAGTCTGGCAGCAACTGAGGCTGCATGGTTCTGCAGGAAGTGACACCTGGGAGAAAGCAACCCTTGAGAACACAGGAGGGCTGTACCTAGAA